GCTGAGGAAGTTAGCCTGCTTTGATTAGACTAGCACTCAGGAGGCTGGACCTTGGCAGGTCTTAGGATTCTTTTCTTTTAATGCACACTTTTGATTCCGACAGTCATTCCTTCCCCAATATTTGGTTCAGACTTCTATGTATTCATCAAGAGTTCTTTCTTCACCTGCCCGAATAGCAGGGCCTTGTTTGATTGAAATAGTTTACCGGTTTCCTGTGTTTGCATCATTAAATTTGCTTGGGTTACCACTCTAACTGTTCGTGCAGAAGCCTTTCATATTCATTAATAATTCATAAGCCCCACAGAATTACTTGAGACCTTCTTTAACCAAATATCTTGAGTCCTAACGTATCCGATGTCATTTCGGCTTCTAGTTTAGAACAATGAGACTTCTGTGGCTAGACTTGCTCTCGGGGGACCTTGAAGAGCTTTTCTTTCCTGTTTAGTGTTTCTTCTAAGTCCAAGATGCTTGAGAAACCTAGAACTTGGAAATACTACATAACAGACGTAACAAAATCAAGCCAATGAGGTGACTTTAGAAACTGATGAACACCCCGGGGGTCGGAGAAGATGGCTGCCTGTCAAAAGCCACCTGAACACAGGAGGACAAGGCCGGAAGTGACCGCCTGGCCAGAAGATGAGTGGCTGAGCCACATGACGGCTCCACCAGCCCATTAGGAAGACATGGCGAAGCCACGTGGCTATCCTGGGATTAGAAAACACACCTGGACTTTAATTGTTTTTGTGGAGTGAAGTGTTCGCGTCCCGGGAATAACGGAAACTTAGTAGGTGTTCTTCAAGACACCCAGTCAGTTGGGGTTGGATTTCTCTCCGCCTCTCTCTGTCTCTTTTCTGCTTCTTTCTTTCCTTCCTCCCTCCCTCCCCTTCTTCTTTCCCTCCCTCCCTCCCTTCCCCTTTTCCTTCTGCCATTCATCATTCCGCCTTTAGGTTGCATGGAACTCGAGTTAGTTTGTGTAAGGAACAAAAGGCCATTCTCCGTTGCTTCTTTCTATTTCGGCTTTTCCATTAAGCCCCGCACCCAGATCAATACTTATAAAGTAGAGCAGCGGGTCTCCTTGCTTCCTCATAATCGGGTAGAAGAACCTGTCTTCTTTTTGAATAATGGACGGGTTTTAGTACTAGTACCTATTAGAGGGATGAGGCCCATTTCCTGTACAAACCCATATCTTTACAAAATAAGATGCTATTGGAAGATAGAATGAATTTTTCAATCCCTCTGATTCGTACACAACTGTAGGGAGCCCTTATGGATTCGGGAAGGCAGGAAGAACAAAAGAAGTCTTTGTTCATTGGAGACTAGAATTTCCAAATGAACCAGAGTGACTCGCTCTCTGTCCTTGGGTGCAGCAGATTGCACTGGAGATAAATGGTGGTGAGCCCGGCGCTGCGCCTCACAATTCACAATTGTATTGTTGGCTGTTGTGACCACACAGCTGTTTTCTGGTTTTGTAAATCAAATCGTATTATCAAATGCTCTTGTCAGCTTGGGAAAACAGCACCCCCCAATGGGCAGGGTCACAAGCCCCTGTCACTGACCACTGACGTGCTCTGTGGGAGTATCTCCAGTATCTAATCATTCAGCTATGTGTCCTTCCATACTGCAGATTCCAAATGAATAGGCCAGGGGCGGGAGCAGAGAGTCTGCATTTTTGAAGGGCCTCTAAGAATGTTTTTATATGTGATTTGGTATGGATGCGTGTGGGAGCACAGGCCATAGCTAGCATGTAGAGGTCAGAGACTAGCCTGTGGGAGTCTGTCCCATCCTCCTCCATGTGTGGGTTCTGGGGATCAAACTCAGATCCTCAAGCTTGGCAGCAAGCACCCATACTTGCTGAGCCAGATCCCAAGCCCAGTATTCTGCATTTTCTTTGTGTGTGTGTGTGTGTGTGTGTGTGTGTGTGCGTGCGCGCGCGCGCGCACGCTGAGGCAAGAGTTTTTCTTTATACCCTTGGCTGTCCTGGAACTCACTCTGTAGATCAGGGCGGCCCGAATTCACAGAGATCCACCTGCCTCGGCTTCCCGGATGCTGGAACTAAAGGAGTGTGCCACCACCAACTGGCATATTCTGCATTTCTAGCAAGCCCCTTCGTGAAACTATTGCGGCTGATCATATTTTGAGTAGCAGGATTTCAAAAGAACTTTGTTTTAAATACCCCATTTTAATAATTTGGGAGTCGAAAGCGGAGGGACAAGATTTGGGTTGCAGTCCTGGAGAAACGCACCTGGGGCCTCAAGCATGTTAAGCCAAGCCTGCAGCCTGGCATTTGGCATTTCTAAGTGCACGTAATTCAATATGTCCCTTTTTGCAAAAGACTGTTTGATGCACGATAGCCTGGAGGAGCTGCTCTGTGCCAGGGCTGCCTCCCATATGCCCCATCTCCTCCCGTCTTAGCAGCCAACCAATGAGCAGCTCTGGTCCCGTTTCCTTGAGAATGGAAGTGTTTCACTCTGTCCCAGCCTTAATGCGCCTGGAGCCTAGCGCCATCCCTGGCACCTGGCCGATTCATGATTTGAATTGAATCAAGCTGAGTTGATTGACTTCATTAGAGCAATATGGAGATGACCTGGTTTTGTCTATTTATAATGGTGTGTTTCCTCTTTAAGGAATGTATTCTTTTTTTTTTTTTTTTTTTTTTTTTTTAATGTAACAAATTCTGTTGTCAGTAATTGCTGGCTCATTTCCAGGCGTACATACTTTTTAAATCATATTTGCTTAAGATGCATGAAGGTTGAACAAAGGTATTGTAAAGGCAGTAAAGACTTGGGGTGGGGAGGGGAAACCTCAGAGCACTTTCCTTAAAAACCACCTTTATTTTCACCTGTGCATCTGTGTCGGTGTGGAAGTGTGTGCTTTTGAGTATTGGTGCCCATAGGGGCCAGAGGAGAGGGATTCACCTGGAGTTGGAGCTCCCGGAGGTTGTGATCCACCCAGGTAGATGCTGGGATTTGAGCGTTGGATGCTGCTAACTACTGAACCACCTATCCAGCCCTCTAGAAGCTCTGTAATTCCTACGAATATGAAACAAATCCTGTCTATAATGAGAGGACTTTAGCAGCCATTCCTATTTAAGAATTTTGTACTGGGAGTTAAAGGGAAGGCACTTCTGAATGTTTTGACAGACTCAAGCCTGTTCCCCTCTACAATTCTGATTAGTCTCAAGGCGTCAATAAAATATGCAAATCTGGAATCCCACTTAGCCTATTTGTCTCCTAGAAGGATTTGAATAAATTGCAGTATCAGTCACAGCATTGAGTGAATGAAACTTGGATACTATACCTCATTGTTCCCTCCTGCTGTTGGGCTCTGCCAGTGCATTTTCTGAAAGCTTTATTATGTATAATTCACATACCACTCCGCTCACGCACGGAGTCTACTGTTGGCATGTGGCACATTCAGAGAGCTGTGTACCCGTCACTACAATCCATTTTAGACATTTTTATTATCCCTATTAAAAAAAAACTGCACCCCTCAGCAGTCACACACCACCAATTCTTCTGTCCTCCAGCAAGAGACAGTCACTGCTGTACCTCCTGTCTCTAGGTACATGAAGACCTCCTGTCTTCATGTTATGTAAATGGATTCATACAGTGCATAGCTCTTTGTGACTGGCGCCTTTTACGTAGCATCATATTTTAAAATTTCCTCCATGCTATAACATGGATTCAAATCTTGTTCTTTTTTTTTTTTTAATTTTGTTCCTTTCTTTAGCTGAATACTTTTCCAATGTATGGATATATGACAGTTTATCTATTCATTGACTGGTAGACATTTGCATTGTTTCGGATTGTTAGGATTAAAGCTGCAAGTTATTTTTATTTTTCTTACATCTGTACCTGGGGGGGGGGGGAAAGCTGAGTTATGAGTATGCATGTATGCATGCAGTGTGTGTGTGTGCATATGTGTGTGCGCGTGCGTGCGTGCGTGCATGCACACGCGCGCGCGCGGTGTGTTGTATATGCATGTAGGAGCCACAGGAGGAGACATTACCTGTCACTCTCCATCTACTTTGAGTTGGGGTATGAGGTTAGACCCTTCTGCTTGGGAGGCCAAGTGCTGGTATCCACTGAGCCGCCACCTGCCCAGTCCAGAGTCTTAGAAAAACAGTGTGTTTAACCTTTCGAGAAACTGTTTACAAAGTGACTACAACTTTTCACTCCTGCCAACAGTGTGTTAGGGTTCCAAATTATCCACGTCCCTCCCATCACTTGCTGTCATCTATCATTCTGAATATCCATGCTGATGTGTGTGAGCTAGTTTCTGTCTTTTTTTTTTTTTTTTTTTTTTTTTAATATGTTTATTTTTATTTTACGTGTGTCTGGGTGGTTTTGCCCTTATGTGTGTCTTGCGCCATGTGTATGCAGTACCGACAGAAGCCAGAAGAGGGCACCAGATCCCCTGGGCCTGGAGTCAACAAATGATTGTAAGCCATCACATGTGTGCTCTGAATGGATTCCAGATCCGTTACATGAGCAACAAGTGCTCCTAAGTGCCGAGTCAGCGCGAGCCTCCTCTAGTTAGCTTTTTCTCTGTTTCCCCAATATCCAGTGATCTCCAGCATCTTTTGTTGTCCTTGCTGACCCTCTGTCTATCATCTTCTCTGTCCTCTATTCAGAAGCACGAAATGAATTGCGTGAGTTCTTTATATATTTAGACTCACCTTCTTTTACAAACATTTTTCTCATTCTGGTCTGACCTTTCAGGGTTTTTGTTTTGTTTTGTTTTTTGCCTTTTTTTTGTTTTGTTTTGTTTTGTTTTTTTGTTTTTTGTTTTTTGTTTTTTTTAATAATGTCTTTTAAATCATGGAAGATACAAATGTTGATGGAAACCAAATTAATTTTTCTTTGGTTGGTCATATGCTTTGGATTGTTACATCCAAGAAACCAGTGTCATGATTGAGTCTTGTGCCCATAGGTCACACATTTGGCTCTTTAATCGGTTTTGAATTAACATGTATACCTGTGTTCTTGTATATTCTCAAGTGCTGTGATCTTGGCTACCACGCAAGTCTGAACAGAGCCCTCAGAACGTATCTCTCGGCAGAGTACAACCTTGAAACCTCCAGACATGAAGGCTTAGACATCATTGAAAATGCTGTTGACAACTTAGAGCCAAGGAGTGACAAGCAGAGATTCATGGAGATGTACCCTGCTGCCTTCTGCCCACCAATGAAGTTTGAATTTCAGTCTCATATGGGTGATGAGGTCAGTAACTGGTACTTTTTGTAAGAGTCAGTTGTTTTCTTCAGATGTCATATATTCTTCTTTGGGGATAGCGCCTCATACAGGCCAGGATGGCCTCGCACTCACTCTGTAGCCTTGGCTAGCCCAGAACTCCTGATCCTTCATCTTCCAACTGCTGAGGTTGTAGCGTAAGCTACCGCACTCAGCTGCCTTGCATGCTTCTTAAGATTTAGTAGGGTGTGTGTGTGTGTGTGAGTGTGAGTGCGTGTGTGTGTGAGTGTGTGCGTGCGTGCGTGTGTGTATGTGAGTGTATGCGTGCATGCGTGTGTGTGAGTGTGCGTGCATGTGTGTGTGCGTGAGTGCGTGCGTGCGTGCGTGCGTGTGTGTGTGTGTGTGTGTGTGTGTAATGTGCACCTGAGGGCAATTACCCACAGAGGTGAGGGAAGGGCATCAGATCCCCTAGAGTTGCAGGTCGATGTGGGTGCTGGGAATTGAACCTGGGTCCTCTGCTAGAGTGGTATATGTTCTTGTTACTGAGCTGTCTCTCTAGCCACTGCCATGTATTCTTTATATGAATTTAAGTTTCTATCCTGTTTTACAGGAGGAAAGAGACAAAAAAAGAAAAGACAAGAAAACCATTTTAACTGATCATGAATTATGTCAACATGTTATCTGTGAATATAGGAAACCAGGGGGAAAATTTATACAGCATGTTACTGTTACCAGTGATAAATAGGTAGATACATAAGTAGACAGATTTTCTGCATATATATAGATAATTGATATGTTATAGACGCATGGATAGGAGGTAGCTAGACATATGATAGGTGCAATATGTCTATACCTACTGTGTTTGTAATCAGTTTTATTTGTATTTAGTAAATTACTTGATGAAAAACTGAGTCCAGACCAAATATCTTTAATCTCAAAATACGATAGAAAGGCTACAAATCTGCTCAGATTTGTTTCAGATTTGGAACGTTTTGCACCTAGGATTTCCAGATTAGGAACTCTCAACAGGTAAAGGCTGGGTTAATCTCCCCTAATCCTCTGAAATCTGAATCATTTCCAGTAGGTGCAGTTCTTATACCAACATGAGATTTTCGCTTGTTTTTAAAATGGTATCTTGCTTTGAATTCACCATCCTCCTGCCTCAGCCTCCCGAATGCTGAGATTACAGGCCAACATACCCAGTGTCACACATACATGTTAACAAGCTTAGTGTTTATCCTACCCTTCACTATCTTTCCAAAATCAAATAGCTGCTGTTCTCATTTTCCATTGTGGGTATCCTAAGCATGGGATGGTAAGAGTCACAGACATGTCTTCAGTCAGCCTTTCTCTTATGTTAATGAGGTAGGTGCATCCCTTTCTTATGGCCATCTGTGCTAGGATTGCCCCAAGAGAAGGAACTTTCTTCAGGCAGGGCCGTTTCTGTGGCAGGAAGATAAAAAGGAAATATCTGTTTGTTTCATGTGCAATTTTAATGATGCTTTCATTTTGACCAAGTCTATCATTGAAATCTTGCCCAAAATATCTCCTTCCAACACCTAAGATAATTTGCCTTATGATGTCTATGGTGAGTCATGTGATTTAACCGATACTGGCTAGCAGCCATGATGGAAAGATACTTAGAAAAAAAAGACACTTTTTTGAGTGTTCTATACCTGTATACATTGTATCATTTCATTCTCACAGTGGGTCATGTGATTTAACAGATAGCAGCCTTAATTGAAAGATACTTTTTTATAAATAAGGCACTTTTTTGAATATTCTGTATCCATATACATTGTATCATTTCATCCCCGCATCAGGGAGTCTTATTGTTGCCTTCTTACCGAGCAGGATACTGAAGTTGCACAGCTTGCAACAGGTAGAAGGCAGAGCTGACATGCAGCCACAACTGCCTGGCTGCAGAGCCCACACCCTAGCCTGCAAGCCTCGTGATACCCTCCCCCTTTCCTTCTGCCCGGCAGTCCATCCACCTGAACTGTCCTTTACCCCCGGTCCTCTCCCCAGCGGCCATTAGGATTCCAAAAGTAAGACACCAGCACAGGCTCAGTCTCAAATCCTACTGCTCACAGAGCAGAGCTGCCTGCAGCCATTGCCTTCCCTGAGAGCAACTGGATCACAGCAGCATTCTGTGCTCATTGCTCACATCTAAGTCTGTTTAAACGTGGAGCTGTAAGGTGGCTGTTGAACATGAAGACGTAGCCAGGCAGGGTGGCACATGCCTGTCCCAGCACCTAGGAAATGGGAAGATTTTAAGTAAAGGCCAACCTGGGCTACACAGTAAGAGCCTGTCTCAAACAGTAATGTTCTAACCAGAACACTCGGGATCAAGAGAGTTGACATGGCTCCTGTATGTGGCATTTAAGTATGAGACCCAGCCAGTCTGTCTCGCTGGTGTGATTCCCTCTGTGTTCAGTGAGAGACCACCTCAAAACACCCTGGAAAGCAATAGATAAGGACATCGCAGAGCTGACGGCTGGCTTCCGTGTACACACAAACAGGCGAGCACATGCATGTATAGACTCGCGTTCGCACCCAAACCCGATAACTGATCCTCGTGCTTCTGAGGTTGGTGGCCGTGCCTGCCCTAACTGCACTTTCTGCTTCTGTCCAGGTGTGCCAGGTCAGTGCCCAGCAGCCAGTCCAGGCGGAACTCATGCTCCGGAACCAACAGCTACAGTCCCGGCTGGCCACACTCAAGATTGAGAATGAGGAGGTGATGGTGCTCACTGTGGTGAAAGGAGGGTGCTCCCTGGGAGGGTGTGTGTGTGAGAGAGAGAGTGCTCCCTGGGAGGAAGAGAGGGTGCTCCCTGGGATGGAGGATGTATGTGTGAGAGAGAAAGAGAGTGCTCCCTGTGGTGAAAGGAGGGTACTCCCTGGGAGGGTGCTCCCTGGGAGGGTGCTCCCTGGGAGGGTGTGTGTGAGAGAGAAAGAGAGTGCTCCCTGTGGTGAAAGGAGGGTACTCCCTGGGAGGGTGCTCCCTGGGAGGGGGTGTGTGTGAGAGAGAGAGTGCTCCCTGGGAGGAAGAGAGGGTGCTCCCTGGGATGGAGGATGTATGTGTGAGAGAGAGAGTGCTCCCTGTGGTGAAAGGAGGGTGCTCCCTGGGAGGGTGTGTGTGTGTGTGTGTGTGTGTGAGAGAGAGAGAGAGAGAGAAAGTGCTCCCTGGGAGGAGGTAAAAGTGCTCCCTAGGAGGGGGTAAGCATGCTTTCTGGCCCCCTGGGATCTGAACTCACTCGCCCCTAAGCTGGAAGACATGTTCACATGGCCTCAGCATCATTGTCCATCTGCAGTCAATGTCCTCACCATACCCTTCACTATCAGGGTTCTGCAAGACTCTCCACGGACGATAAATATAAGGGTTCTGCATAGCTCTGTAAATGAGTATTTTTCCAAAGTTGACTCCCTGTACATGTAAGCAGTTTGTCTCCTCAAACTATATAGTTCATATTGAAAATAGCTCCCTGGATTATCTAATTCATCGCATATGTCCAAATATATAGTCATATGTAGAATGTGATCTTGTCTTCCAAAATTAGAAATCCCCCCACCCCCTGCTTATGCCTTTCCATAGTTTCTCGATTTTTGGTACTGAATGTGGCATTGCTTATAAAATTAGTGCAAAAAAAATTCACACTGGAAATAGTGCTTAAAGGGGGGTAGAAAAATGATTATTTGCTGACATATTTAAAATATAGACTACAAAATGTGAATTATCTTTATATGGTGAGACTGGAAAAAAATTGCATAATTCAGATGCTTGTTTTTACCATTGACTATGACACACGTATGAAAACAGGACCCTGAACGGTGATTTGTAGGAACCCGGAACTGACCTGTGTTTGCAGCAGACCCTGAGGTGGAGAGGAGTAAAGCACACAGGATAAGGAGCTGGGCAGTTGGCTAAGAGGTTGCAGAATGTTTGGGCTGCCATGAGAGCCAGCGTCCAGATCCCATCACCCTTGTGGTGAGGCCAGGGGTGTCAGCTCCAGAGTCCAGCACTTTCTTCTGGCACCTCCGTATGCAGCCTGCTCACACCCCTGCACACTCCCCTGCACATACACTAGATAGATAGATAGATAGATAATAGATAGACAGACAGACAGATGATAGATAACCAGAAGATAGACAGACATGATAGTTAGACAGATGATAGATATTGATAGATAGATGGGAGAATAAAAAGTTAAAAATTTTTTAATTTATTTTATCAACTATCACTGCCTGGAACTCCAGGGGATCCTGTGGCCTGTTGCAGATTCCCTAGGCATATATATAACACAAAATGTACATACACACAGGCACAGACATTCATAAAGAAAAATAACATTGTGTCTCTACACCATTGCAATTTGATCAAAACCTACTGTTATGTATTTTGTTTTATTTGGGGATTTTTGTTTGTTTTGTTTTTTGCTTTTATTCTTACTGGCGAAACCAAAGGAGTCCTTAATCAAGATGGAACTTTAGCTATTTCTATGTAAAGCAGCAGTTCTGAACCTATGGTTCAAGATCCCTCTAGGGTCAAATGACCCTTTCATTGGGATTGTCTGAAACCATCTGAGAACACAGATATTTACATTATGATTCATAACAGTAAAAAAAAATTAGCCATGAAATAGCAATGAAAATAATTTTATGGTTATGGGTCACCACGATATGAGGGACTGTGTATTGATGGGTGCCAGCATTAGGAAGGTTGAGAACCCCTGGTTGTAAGGTCAGTGCATAAATGAGCTTTTACAGAAGATGTAATCATTCTCTTTGAAGTCTTGGTTTCGGAGCTACAGCTTTGGCAAGAAAACAGGAACCATGAAATACTCACTGGTCTTTTGCAAAGTGCCTGGTTGTTTGTATATCGTGGCCCTCAGTGTTTGTTACTGGTTTTGTTTTGTTTTGTTTTGTTTTGTTTTTTTTGCTTTCTTATCTTCTGGCTAATTCATTTGGGAAATCCTCTCAGAACTCATGGAAAATGCCGTGTTATACACAGGGTCAAAGCTGGCAGGCTACAGATTTGTTTTATTTGGCTTTGAACTTTTTAGTTGTTTTAAAATAATAAATCAGGCAGCCAGTGGTGGTGCACGCCTTTGATCCCAACACCCAGGAGGCAGAGGCAGGTGGATCTCTGAGTTCAAGGCCAGCCTGGTCTACAAAGCAAATACTAAGACAGCCAAGACCAGGGCAGGTGGGCCTGAGGGGAACAGATTTTTCTCAGACAGCTGAAGGCAGCGACTGTGGGCTAAGAGCCCCTGGGCAATGATGCTGTTGTTACCCTTGTGTTAAGCTCTGTCGCTGCTGAAAATGAATTTTTCTTATCTTTTTTCTTTTCTTTCTTTTTTTTTAGATTTATTTATCACACACAGTGTTCTGTCTGCATGTATCCCTGCATGCCAGAAGAGGGCGCCAGATCTCATTACAGATGGTTGTGAGCCACCTTGTGGGTGCTGAGACTTGAACTCAGGACCTCTGGAAGAGCAGGCAGCACTCTTGACCCCTGAGCCATCTCTCCAGCCCCGAGAATGAATTTAAAAACTAATAATAATCAAGCGGCCCCGGTGTTTATAAATACAGCCTCAGATGCTGGCAGACACAGTAGTGTGACCCCCGCTGCAGTGGTTCTGGGGCAACCACCTCCCCCACAACAGAAGCCACAGAGAGCAACAATCTTAGCTCTGTGATACCACATCCAGTGCAGACGGGGTCAGGGGTGTCTGTACCACTGTTAAGGGATGAGGAGAGAGGGGGAAGGGCAAGGCAGGATGCTGCATCTGCTCTCGGCGTCTGGGGACTGCACTGACATAGTTCCCATAGCCTAGGCACAAATCCAATCTGCGTGTGAGTGTGTGTGTGTGTGTGAGAGAGAGAGAGAGAGAGAGAGAGAGAGAGAGAGAGAGAGCATGCGTGCATGCATGTATGGCATTGATGACAGGTTTCAAGCCAGTATTCCTCCAGGAGAGATGCAGGTACCTTTCACATACGATAATGCGCTCCAGCTCATGCAGCAGGGACTCTGAGACCACTGCACCCCAGCACAGTGGCTTAAATTGAAAGGACTGACAGCGCCAACTGCTGACGGGGATGTGAAGTAGCGGGATTCTCCACCAGGCCGGACGGGCGGGAATATAAGTAGCGTCTTTTTGGAGAGCGATCTGGCATTGTCCATACTCAGCGATTCTGCCCATGTGTGTGCGGCCCAACAAAATTTGTGTTCATCGCGATTTAATTCCTAAAAGATCCCAACTAAAAGTTGGTCAATCTTATTGATCACAGGGCCGAATTATGATTTATGCTGGCAATAAGTATCAAGTAGTGAAATACTGTATTCACGAGAAGTGAATCTCACTGACATTGCGCAAAAGAAGTCAGATATAAAGATATATTCTACACTATTCCATTTCTGTAAAACAGCACCAAAGCATTAGACAGGCAGGTAATGGTGGGCTGGGCGTGTGGCCTTGTAGCAGAGAACCTGCTCATGGCACAAATAAGCTACTGGTTTTGCTTCTCAATAAGGAAAAGAAAAAGACAGGAAGCCAGGCAGGAGGGAAGTTGGATACACTGAGAGGAAGAAATGTGAAATGTGGCAATTTTATTTGAAGGACAGTGAGTGTGAGGTGTTTACATAGGCATGTTCACTTTGAGATTATCCATCAGTCTATACGGTCTATGTATTTTTTTTCCTGTTTGTAGGTTTACTTTAATTTAAAAGGTAATAGTAAACAAAAGTGAAATTGGGAGTCTCCTGTGGTCTGTGAGATTGGGCACAGATTTGGTGATCCGAGGTCCAGTTGATCTGTGTCTCTTCCCCAAACCCAGCACACTCTGAAGTCACCTCTCCCAGAGGGACAGGCTCTCCCTGAGAAGTGCAAGATTCACAGAACGATACGCTAATGAGAGGAATGTTTTTCCTATCCCCAGGTCAAGAAAACGACGGAAGCCACCCTGCAGACGATCCAGGACATGGTCACGATTGAGGACTACGATGTGTCCGAGTGCTTCCAGCACAGTCGCTCCACCGAGTCCGTGAAGTCGACTGTGTCTGAGACCTACCTGAGTAAGCCCAGCATCGCCAAGAGACGAGCTAACCAGCAAGAAACAGAACACTTCTACTTCATGGTACGCCCTGCCCTGCCCCGCCCCGCCTGACCCTGGCCCGCCAGCCTCTCCCTACAGAGCCTCTATCATGATGCCAGAGTCTCCTGGGGGCCTTGATTTAAAAATATGGTCACCGGAGCATCCTCAAAGTCCAGACTGAGCCAGTCTGGGTAGACATTAGGAGGTGGGGTTTCTCTAAAACAGATGGGGGGGGCATCTTGAGCAGGTGTGAGGATGTGTTACTCCTCCATCTTGTTTTTTTGGAGACGGTTTCTCTCTGAACCTGGGGCCAACTGGCCAATGAGCAACCAGGGATCTTCCTGTCCCCACCCCACCCTAGTGCTGGGATTACTGATAAACTGCCACACCCAGTGCTGGAGATCTGAGTTCAGGTTCTCCTGCTTCCATAGCCATCACTTTCCCCCAATCTTCACATGGGTACATGTCCCGGGGAGGCGGGGGGGGGGGGGGATGGAGGGGAGGGTGCTAAAACGCAGCCTTTACAACAGGTCTGGGGAAGAAGGACCCAGACCCTGCGTCTCAGATGGGCTCTCAAGGGATGGCCAGCTCGGCTAGACTAGACACCACACTTGGAGTAGCAGAACCCTAGGAAACAGACCAAGCAGCTGGGCTTGAGTGTTCCTCTGGGGAGTCTCTGGGCCCGGGATGGCTTTAAGTTTTCCCCTTGGCTTTTGCAGAAACTCCGAGAGTTCTTGGAAGGCAGCAATCTCATCACAAAGCTTCAGGCCAAGCACGACTTACTACAGAGGACTCTTGGAGAAGGTCGGTTACCGGGAGCAAATGGGGAAATGATTTGGCTGGGGTATCGTGTCATGGGTGTTCTTTGAAGAATGTGAAGTGAGTGTGAGTGTGTGTGTGTGCGCGTGTGTGTGCGTGTGTGTGTGCGTGTGAACGTGTGTGTGAGCGTGTGAGTGTGTGTGTGAGCATGTGTGTGAGTGTGTGTGAGCGTGTGAGTGTGTGTGAGCGTGTGAGTGTGTGTGAGCGTGTGTGTGTGTGTGTGTGCGCGCACGCGCGCGCGTTTAGGTTAGGCTGATGTGTTTCACTGATAATTGTGTTGTCTCTGAAGCCATTTTAAGCCTAGAGGTAAATTCAAGGAGGAGGAGTGAGGTGGCTCCTTTGGGGGAGGGACCCAATCTACTGGCCTCAATCTCTGCATCAGGTTTCTCTGCCCTCCAGCCTCACCCCTGTCCATTTGAATGGGCTGGTACCTGTCCCATCTGTTGCCTTTTGGGATTCTAGAAACCAGTTTGTCCGGTCTGGGTGATTTTCTTTTTCTTCCTTCAGGCATTGTCGGTAGTTGACAAACGTTCTGATGGTGTATATAGATTGCTCTGTGTGGTAACAGAAACAATAGCATTAATACTGATGGAATACACCAGAGCCAAGCACTGTTCTGACTACAGTCTTAACTGGGAACGATTAGCTCTTACAAATGAGGTGAGGGTGAGGGTGGACTACACACTAAGAGGCTATGTAAATATCTCTGCTCCCCTTAAAACAAGTCTACACAGGCAGAGCCCTAATTACGTGTCTTGGGGTCTAAAGTGGCATGGCTAGAAAGGTAATTCAGCCAATAAGAGCACTTGCTGGTTCTGAGTTTGGTTCCCACACCAATATGGTGGCTCGTTCTGGTTCCTGGGGATTCAATGCCATCTTCTGACCTCTGCAGGCACCCACACACCCACACACACACACACACACACACACACACACACACACACACACACACACAGAGAGAGAGAGAGAGAGAATGCTTACATGCATACATTCCTGTACATAAAATAAAAATACATCTTTTTTAAAAAACAAGTTTTTTAAAACTTGTTCCTAAGTTCTTGCCTCCTACATTCTGGAACCTTCCTTGCCCACAAGGCAGTGTGCTTACCACTTTACCTTACTGCTTGCTCCAAAGGACCTGTAATCCTCAGGGAATGGTCACATGGGGAAAGGTTGTCATGCATGACCTCAGGCTCCCCAAGGTCTGGGTTCAAAGGTAGCCATACCTAAGAAAAAGGTTTTGTTTAAGTGTTAAAACGCTCCCAAGAAAAATAAGATAGCCAAATGTAATGTATCAACTTCAATTAAAATCTGAACCAAAAGGCAAAACTTATGAAGGCCATTTTAAACATAATGGGAAATGGGCATAATCTATATGATTATATATTATATATATTATTGACTTAATTTTCCTATGTATCGTAATGGTCATAAAGAGGACTATTTTTATTCTTTAAGGGGAAAAAAAAAGCTTCTAAAAGTCCGCATTGTCCATGACTTTCTTCCCTGTGGCAGGGCTAGGGATTTTTAAAAGAAGACACACACACACGCACACACACACGCACACACACACACACACACACGCACACACACTCACACACACACACACACACACACACGCACACACACACTCATGAAATCTAAGTGAAGACAGTCAGCATATTCCTTATACTATTCTTTGAGTCTTCTGTAGGGTTAAACATTTTTTTTTTTTTTTTTAGCTTTTTTAATCTCTGAATAGCTTTCTTGTAAAATCATGTCCTAGTTTTGTGGTTATATATTTTTTCCTATTTGTCTGATAATAAATCCCCCTTTTTCCTCCCATTTTGCACAAGTGCCCGGGATTTCAGACAGTGCCCTCAAGGTCCCTCGCTGCCCCCAGAGCATAACTTTCTCCTCGGTGCTGAGAAATGCTTCCACTCAAGGCTCTTTCTCCGAGCCTGAGAGCCACTGTGGCCATGGTGGGGTGGAGGGGATTGAGCCCTGGCTGCCCTCACTCTTGGCACAGTGCTCAGCAAGTGTTAACGTGGCTTGGAGGAGCAGCCCTCTGAAGCCTTCATGGTAGTCACTGAGCATCAATTCTTTATGTCTCCGAGAGAGAAAAGCCCCACTTGTTAATGGCGCTCCCCATGCCATTCTTGGAGTGGGCTACATTTTGGCCTTGTAGGCCGAGACCATTTGCCAAAGGCTGCCTTAGCCACACTGTGTAAAGCTGTCACACCTTGTGAACACTGAGCCAGGATCCCTTTGTCTTGGAATTCCTCTCAGTGGGTTTGGGTGTCCCCCACGACGCGGCTTAGTTACACTCAGTTAAGTCTGTGGAAGGGACCTGGAGGGTCTTCATGGGGCAGCGTGTACTAACTGGGCACAGAGCTCTGCAGCTCTTAGCTCTGTAACTTGGGCCAGCTTGACAGTACATCAGCGGCTGGCCTTTCGTTTGACCCTCGAAGAGAAACTGAGCACAGCAGACACACCCACTTTTGAAGAGGTTAGGCCCAGTAACCCTGCCAGCTTTCCATGTTAATAGGCTTACCAGGAATGAGACTAGGAGGGCTAAGGGCGTCTGTCCATGGGAAAACAGCCCGATGATGAGCGCTTAGGACAGAATCCAAGAATCTGGTTAAATAAGGTTAGTAGTCCAGGATGAAGGGGTTTGTGTGCACGGACTGGCTTGACTTTTCAGATAGGAATGCCTCTCAGTTCTCCCAGACTTGCTGCTGCAAACAACAGCCTTCATAGTAGAAACAAATAGCCCTGCCCCGGGATTTAGCTGTTGATCATCCACAGATGAAACTCTAACTACAGACATGTGTTTGGCCTGCTTGCTGCCTGCTCTTGGCAGGCTACCAGTGGCCTACTCAGTTCTTTGATTTACAACACACTGAAGCAACTGAATCAGACTCCTAAAGGGGCATTCCCCAAACTCAGACTCCCAAGACTTTAAAAAAACACCCAAATAGAGAGAAGGAATACGTAGGTTATGGAAGCCCCACCTCTACCCCACCCCGCCCCAAAGCATTTCTTTTTTTTTTTTTTTTTTTTTTTTTTTTTCTTAATGGAACTTGAACCAGCCACAGATATATATATATATATATCGTCTGGTAATGTGTTTTTATATTCACATCAGGTTCTTTGCGTGAGGTATTTGGAGGTAAGAGGGTGGAAATATCTGAACAATTTTTGCTAAACAGAAAAATGTGGTGGTGGGAGCCATGCTCTGTTACATTGTTTCTTGTCCTGGGAATGACATTTTTTTTTTTTTTTTTTTTTTTTTTGACAAAGGAATTAAGTAGGTTATCTTGGAATAATCCATTGTCTGCTTTTGAGTAGGAGTACAAATATTCTTTCAAAAGAGAATCGGATTGTGAATAATTATGTCTTTTTACAAAAGCACCCCAGTAGTCGACAGAGTTGAGGAAGAAAGGGGGTTGGAAAGTATTCACCGTGGGACTTCATCAGTCACTCATTAGGGGACAAATCAATGGTCCAGTTCAAGCTAGGCATATTTTAAATATTATTCTCCAGGGTTTTTTCTCTTACCTCAAGTTGCCCCAAACCTTCACTTTGAATAAAATGTATTTAAGTGCATTTTATTCCCTTCAGAATTCTGAAGTAAAATGTAAGAGGATTAAAAGAAGCCAGTTATCCCAGATTGCAGTTCCAGAATTTACAGACAGAGGCAGGAGGATGGAGTTTGAGGTGAAGCCTGGGATACAGAGCAAGGCCAGCCTGTGAATAACAACCCTCCCTGCCCCGAATAAACAGTCGCAAGGAGCTGTTTGTACTAAAAGAAAAAACTTTGCCCTGGATCTTTTTGCCTGGGGTGGGGGTGTGGGGACTGTAGTTTTTAATAATTAAATGAGCTTCAATCTTATTTAACTTGTTTGACTGAAATCTAGTCCTTAGACCACCAGACGCTTTGGCAATTCTTTAGGAAGGCAAGTCTTCCTTGTTCATGTGTTACTGATCTTCTAATGATGATGCTGATTGAAAACTAAAACCCATTCATCAGTTGAGGTGTACTCAGGACTGTTCCCTGGAAAAGTCATCAATGAGGTCATGCAGTTATGCTGTGACTCCCATAACACCTGCTCTCAGCTCTCGATTCAAAATGTATCTTGTTTACGTTTTTAATTTTTCATCTCATACCGTCAACCATCAATAGAAGGAGCATAAAAATAGAAACCGTCTTACCATTTACCATTCATCTTTTCCTCAGTCTGGGAACTAATTGGTTGGGATATTTGAGCAAAAACAGCAAAATCTCCAGGCTATAAAATATTTCATTTTTAATAATCACCAGTTTTTCTAGTATCCAACCGTGTGAATGTAATTAGACTGTCTTCCTCAACTTAAATGGGTAGATAGCTACTAATTTGCATATTCACACATCGGTGTAATTTTTCATTGAGGTCTTCATTATTTTATTTTAGCCATCCTGGGAAGGTAAAGCTGGGGCCCATTCCTTCCTTGTAGGACTGACTATTCCCATGTTCAGGTGGGAAAACAAGAGTTGGGCATGTCTGTCCACATGCCTGTGGAGGCCTCAGAGATGAGCATAGGCTATCTTTCTTGATCACTCCACACCTTGTGTGTCTGAGACAGGGTCTCTCACTCACATAAGAGCTCACCAGTTGGCTTAGCTTTTACATAGACATTGGGATCTGAACTCAAGTTCTTATGCTTGCATGGCAGGCACATCACCAACTGAGCCACCTTCCCAGTGTCAAAACTTAGCTCTGCGCGTGCGCGCGCGCGCGCGTGTGTGTGTGTGTGTGTGTGTGTGTGTGTGTGTGTGTGTGTGTTAGTGATGAGCATTGAACTCACGGCCTCTTGGATGCTCAGTCAAGTGCTCTACCACTGAGTCTGCATCCCCACCCCAACTGCTACAGTTTTTACGGTAGTGTAGTACAGTGCTTGGGATTTCAGATCTGTAATTAAAATAAAACTCAAGCCTAGTGCCGGGTCCACGCCACACTAACACGACCTGGGACAGGTCATGTTCTTATGTGCTCCGCCTCTTTTGTAAAATAAGAAAAATAACAGAAGCTGTTTCATAAGTTATGAAAACTGTGAGTTAACATCTAATATCAAGTGCTCAGCCCAGGTATGTAATGCATACAAATACAGCCTGCAATCCAAGGATATATAGTGTCACTCTGTCTCAAATTAGTATGGAAATACATAGTCCTTCAAACGCCGGGCAGAATTTTACAATGTGTAGGTCGTTTATTCAAATAGTTTCCGGTCTGTTTTTACTAATATATCACACCAAGGTCATGATAAGGCACTGAACGCAACGATACAGTATAGATGAGCCAGATAGTGTCTCTACCCTCAATCCTTTGTTCATCCCACTGATTTACCCTAGGTGGTCTCAACCTTGTCTGCCCTCTGCCCAAATCCAGTCTAGCCCAGCTTCCCATGGGCATTTCCACTAGGGTATCCCTAAGGTACCACATACCACACTCAACTCACTGCAACTCTGGCTAGAATCTGATCTTGCCAAAACTTGTCCTGGTTCAGATCTATGTGAAGAAAGGTGTCCTCTGATGATATCTGCTGTGCCTGTTCAATCAACATTTATCAAGCATTTCATGTTACTTGTTATTCAAGAGCAGATGATAGGGGGGGCGTGCAGCTGTGGTGGAGGAGTGTTCATTGACCATTCGCACCAGCCGGTTGTCGAGCTGGCCTTGTCTTGTGGGTCTGAGCCACTGTGTTGTGTGCTGGGCCGGCCTCAACAGTTTGTACTGCAACGTGGCCTTTCTCTGCCAGCTGTAGTTTCCGACTCCTTTAGAACCATGCCATCATTTTGCAAGCAAAGCTGCTGGATGGTTCCACTCTTGCACACTGTTCAGCCCTGGATGCATGAAGAACAGACCGGCAGTGTAGATGCTTGCACACTTGAAATGAGTGCAGATTGTGGGCGTGCTAGAATGATCCAGTCCTGTTAGACAGAATAAGAAGGCCGTGTGTGTGTGTGTGTGTGTGTGTGTGTGTGTGTGTGTGTGTGAGAGAGAGAGAGAGAGAGAGAGAGAGAGAGAGAGAGCAGCTGGTGGTTCATGTGACATAACCCTTGGAAGACTTGTAGCTTACAAGGTGGTAGATCGTACAATGATTGAGTGTCCTTGTATGTTGTTGTCTGTCTGTGTCAGTTCGGAACAGGGAACACGGGGTCTCTCCCAGTGCCCTGACTTCATACCACAGAGAGAAGACCAACTAAAATCAATAGGAAACTGACTTCACCCAACCCTACTTGCGGCAAATACTATCACTGGCATGGAACTTCAGATATGCTTTGGTTGTGTTTTGTGTGAGAACATAAACTTACAGCCAAGCAGCTAATTCTTGCAAAAGGAAAAAAAAGAAAAAGAAAAAAAGAAACCGCCTCAAATTGCCAAATGAAACATGTTTCTCTAACCTGTAGGATCTTTTAAAATTTTGGATTGAGATTTTTGTGAAAATAATGACTTTGAATTATTCGGTTACCATGTGCTGTTCATGTCATTTCTGCCTCCAGATCTGTAACTCATTGTTGACTCGGGACCCTGAGATAAGGGTTATCAAATCGGACGTACTGATTGCACCCAGTTTTTCTCATCTTCTGTTATTCTTTTTTGGCAGGTCATAGAGCTGAATATATGACCACAAGGTAGGCAGAGATTTCCTCGTAGTCCTTAGTCTGCCTCGCTTTCTCCCTTTAGCAAGAGAAATCACCAACCACAGACGATCGTCTGGGCGTGACGAAGCTCAGCACCTTGAGGGCGTTAGGTTCTCTCCAGGTTCCCATCCTCTTGAGGTTTGAACACCTGCCACACGCCTTCCTGGATGTGCAATGTATAAAAACGTCTCCGCAAGGTTAACTGCAGAAGGACAAGGGGTGCTGCCTGGGAGGGGTCTGCACACACTCGTGTGTATTTATGAAGGCTCCTCTTAAGCTGCCTGGCACCACAGGACTGCAGGTGCTGCTAGCTGCACACTCCATTAGTCCCAGCCTCCTGCCGGGAGATTCTGAGGGGTTCCCCCACGAAAGGCTGTATCAGCAGGTTTGTCCTCTCATACACACGTAGATTGCTGTGGTAATAGCTAATGAAGCTCTTCAGGCTGTCACATAAAGTCTCAGGATTTTACTTCTGACCTGGGCTTCCCGAACTGGGGCCAGATGAACTTGAGAGGTCCTCATTTCCCATGATAGTGCAAGATGATTGCTGCAGGGTTTGCCGGAATAGCATGTGGTACACTGGATATGTGCAAGCTGGAAAGACTGTGTGCAAGCCTGAAGGCCTATCCACCAAAGCAAACAGGCAGAACAGTCTCGAGCAGCACAAATAGGTGTGAGCCTACCCCATAGATGTGTGGGCAGGGATACCCTGAAGTCTGCAGAGACAGAAACTCATGTGAATCCGGGCCTCACTCCAAAACCACATTGAAACCAATCCCTAATTTTCTCAGGGGTGACCTGTTCTTGTAAATGATTACATATAATCAAAGCCTGTTAATGCACGAGGAATACTGAACAGATGTGATGCTACCTACACTGGGGAATTATGAACCAACTAAAAATATTTAAATTCATCGTGTAGAAATCTCTCAAAGCCTAATTACAGTTACATTTAGGTGTGCGCTTCATAAACCAAACAAAAAAACCTGGCTTTATAACACTTGGCTAGATAGCTCACAATAACAATTTATAATATCATTTTTAAGTAAGCTACAAGAAAAAAATAAATAAAAATGCCAGTCTTAGCACACAGGGAACGCCGCAGTCTGAATGGACAGCTCCTGTGCTTCTGATACATAAATAAAATCGAAGGAAAAGGATGGGAGTGTTTTCTCCTGGGCTGGGGTGGGGAGGGAACCCAGGGTCCCTGGTGGTGTTATTTTGATATGACCTAAGGGTGTTTCATTTATTGTCTGATTTCTGCCATGCTCAGTAATTATATCCCCTTCCCTTAGGCCTCCAAACGTCCCCCCTAAGCCCCAGAAACACAGGAAGTCCAGGGCCCGCTGCCAGTTTAATGCTAAGTTGTTTAATGGGGATTTGGAGACATTCGTCAAGGTACTGCACCAGCCGCCAGTGGCTGACCTCCATGCTCCTCACTATAATGGTCTCAGCCTCCCATGAATGAGGCAGGGTCATTATGTCCCGGGTCTGTCCTGGGGCTCTTTGCTTTCCCAGAAAATCAATATAATAGTTCCTGAAGTCAGAGAGGAACGGATATTTGGATTTCGAGTCTTCTGAAAGAAAAATAAATTAATGTGGATCTTATATGAGCAAAAGAAAAAGCCCCCTCACACCCTGGTTTTTGTTTTGTTTTCCTTTTTCTTTTTCCAAGCCAAAAATTGTAGGGAAAGGAAAAGAAAAACTTGATGTAATATTTTCTCGTTACTTGTGCAGATGAGGCGGCACAGTGCGCATGTTTTTAAATCCGCGTTAGCCTCACTTGGATGCAAGCACGAGTCTGACTTTCTCATGACTTAAGGAATTCATTATATTGGATAAATTTTGTACAGCCCTAAAGTCTGTATCTTGAATCTCTGCCGTGTTTACTCTCTGCCTTCTTTCTTCTCATCCTGTATTTCTGATAATGCTTCTAGCCGGGGACGGAGGAACTCTCACGCGAGACATCAGGTATTGTGCCGGAGGGAAGCGAGGGCCTCTATCCGCTGGCATCATTTGCAACTCATACCCATGCTTGGCTTTAATTAGAGTTTTTAAGGTCTTTAAAAGAAAAATGTTTGCAGTTGGAAATTAGGCAGTTTATAAATAGGCCTTACTTAGGAAAGCCTGTGGGAAGCAGTCACTAACTGAAGATGAATAAGCCTCACCAGTGAGAGTGGATGAGTCGGTTTTTACCTGATGCCTTTGGCAAATGCATCCAAGTTGAGTTACGGAAAGTCTGTGTGAAATACCAAATACATATTTAATATTGAATTATAGATTCTTCTGTAAATTGCATGAAAAAGATAAAACATTTCATAAGAAGGGCTATTGTGTATTTGGAAGCTAACTATAGTAGAAGACAGCATTTTAAATATTTAAAAGGTTCATAATTTATGTTATAGACATCTTAACTTCTTTAAAGATAGATCTGTTTATTAAATCTGTGCACTAGCAATTAAAAGGCTTGCATTAATGTGTGTGCTCATGTACATGGCACTTAAATACATTCATGCTTGTGTGGATACAGAGGGAGAGAAATTAGAAATGTCTGGAAGTCTTAAAAGTGAGCCCTAACCCTGGGATGAAATAAAAGGCCACTGAACAACCTAAATAGCAATCACAATGCCATTGCCTTGAGCCTTACGCTCCTATTGAATCTAATTTACTATAAATGTATTGTCAAATTTGACTTGAATCTCGATTCCCAGCCCATAGCTCACAGGCATGAGCTAGTTAAAGAGAAGAGGGAACAGTCAAAGGATGGCATCGAACTGTGCCCCTATGGCTTGGGAGGAAGGGAGAAGGCAGAAAAGCCTCAGAGGCAGATGAACCTGTCTGTTCCCTTTGCTGGTGTGGTGTGGGAGCAGCTACTTAAGACGATGCACATATTAGAGATTTTGAAAATTCTTCGCTAACAACTGTCAGCTAAAGGCAAGCAAACAGAGAGACTGAAGAAAGGCTAAGGTAGTTCTTGTGAAAACTCCATTGTGTGAGCTGTGCAGATGCAACACTGGAGAGTCTCTGGAACCCAGGGAACCCAAAGGTACTGAAGTCTCTCGCTGTACTTCTGGAAAGGACTTCCAAGCTCTCCCAGATGGCCCCATGAGATGGCAAGACCAAAACCATCTTCCCATAGGGAAACCGAGGCACAGAGAAATGTTTGGATGGTGGTATCTGGAGAGCAGTCCATAATTCCACTCCTTGTGAAATATTTTCAACCCAAACATCTAGCATTCGTGAAATTTAAATGCTCATTATATTTTTACTACAAAGTGCACTCTATCTAAATGAGAGGTGAATGTTGGTTAAAAGACTAACCACCATCTAAGTGGATGTCAAGACGAAATGTTCAACATGATACCGTGAAGATGTAAGAGTTCAGAACTTTCTGAGTGCAAACAGTTTTCTTTGAATCTTTTTTTCTTTGTCTTTATGCTAAGTTCAGCAGAGATGTAAACTAATACCCTCCGCTCATCACTTACACTTAAGTATTTGTTGCTCTTTTAAATTGGAATGGGACACGAATTGTTTATAAAATGTTACTTCCATTAAACCATGCTTGTGTCTTACAGAAAAAGATCCTTTCGTGTATTCAGTAAATTTTGGTGTAATTACACCACCTTCCCTGAGCCAACTAGCCTCCACTAAGATGCGTTTTATTTTTTAAGGCTCTTCTTTAAGGGGCTCATAAAACGTATGCTCCTAAAGCAAATTAACTAATTAGAGAAGCCTAATACAGTCTCCAGAAGTAATTGAAACATTAAGTGTTCTATACGCTGGTTGCCTGAAAGCTTGAAAATAAAACTGTGTCTTAAGCAGCACGTTGCCCATGTTGGAGACAATAAAGACGGGGAGAAGAGTCTGGGCTGGCAAGATCCAGTATCCCTAGGCTCTGCTTTCCAGCTAGACTGGGAAAGCTAACTGTCCTGCATTGTCATAGTGTGCTAAGACCAAGTTCTTAATGTTTCTGAGTAAAGCTCCTCAGGAGTATGTGCCCGATGCCCGCTAATCCCTTTCAAGTCCCATGTTTCCTGGAAAGATCTTATTCCTAAAAATACATGAGAAGCAACGCCATCCCTCGCCATTCTTTTTAACTCACGGAGTGCATGCCATCAGTACACGTTTAACTGGCCTCCGCCGCCCCCACAGCCCATCTGTCATGAAAGCATTTCCAGCATTTTCTTAGTAGAGGATGGTGACCATTTTATGAGGTGTTGGACCCAGAAGACCAAAGCAGTCTTCCTTGCCTTCATCCTTAAGATGGGCTAAGTAAGTTCTGATGCAGACTAAGTAAATACGTAACATGCTTTAGTCCCCTATGAAGACCGTTTGTAACTGCCACCATCGGGGTGGTGTGGTTTTAGTAACATGGCGGAGAGAGCCCTAAGAATCCTGAAACGGCTAATCAGACAGAAGATGCTGCAGGGGGAAACACACAACATTCTTTTTACCTGCTGCCCATTGATCACCTCAAGTTAAGACTCTCAAGATGAGTCACTCACTTGGGCATGCAAGTGAAAGATAAGGAAAGCACTTAAGTTTTGGTTTCCTTGTTCTTGTCTGAGGCAGGGTGTTATCTGTCCTAGCCTCCTGCTCAGCCTCCCAGCTGGGAAAACTATAACAACCACTCCCAACGCCAACTAGCCTCCCAACATATCTAGAACACCCTATGTTAAATGTATTTATTTTAGCTTGCTTCAGAACTGAAATACACCTTTGTCTACATCTACATTTTTTTTCACGCTTTTTGTTGTTGTTAATTCTTCCTGGAGGAATTTGAGGGAGGAGAGGGGGTGTATTTGGAAAAGATCACCTGACTAGGACATACGCCACTCTAATGACTAAACTATGGCTCTTATTTCTCTGTGTGACTCACCCTTCTCCACTGACATTTCCCGGTCTCCTCCTCTCTCCCCAGGACTCGGGCCAGATAATCCCTCTCATTGTGGAAAGCTGTATTCGGTTCATCAATCTGTACGGTAAGCAGTCTTCACCGTGGAACCCCGATTTAAAAGCAAGGACTGGGTTTGTTTCGCTAAGCATGTATTTTTGATGGCGTTTTATTCTTGAGGGAAAAAACGAGCGAGAGAGATCTGTGGGCATGAGAGCGTTTCTCACGGTTGTCTTCTGTTGCTGTAGGTCTCCAGCACCAGGGGATTTTCAGAGTGTCTGGTTCCCAGGTGGAAGTGAATGATATCAAGAACTCCTTTGAAAGAGGTAACCGCACGTCTCTACCCATAAGTAAAACGTGTTGAAAACCCACTCTGAGAATTCTGTTTTCGGCCTGCCGTCCTCGACCCTGCGCAGCCCCAACACCTCCTTCTTGCACACGCTTCATTGAGGAGGCTGGGGAATGAGTTGTTCTGTCAAAAGCAGAAAAGCCTATGAGCTTTGTCCCCTGGGTTTAGGATTCACACTGACTGTTCATGACTTGTATCGGTGGCACCTGACAGGGTTCTAGAAGGGGTAGGCTGGCCCGATCTACATGGTGAGGGATGGGACACCTCGTTCCCACTTCCAGCTTCTCACATTCCTTTGTCAGTGGCTCTCTCCTTCTTCATGTCCCCACGCCACATCCCCTTCCCGTGACTTTCTGTTCATAATTGGCCGAGATGCAAGTCATACTAAACTATTAACGAGTTAGCAAAACCACACTCCGACCCTGTGTCAGGGAGACCCTGAATTGAATCGAGGTCTTCTATTATTGATGGTGGGATTTAGCAAGGAACTCCAGCCTTAATTTGACCTCTGTTTCCTCATCTGCAAAGCTGCAGGGTTGTTATGTGGTTTAGATCTGGCCTGTGAAAATACCTGGCCCGCTAATGATGCTATTGGTTATTAATGCACCCCGACTGTCGCAATTTGCATTGCATCTACTTCTGGGTTCCTCTGTGCCTTCCCTCCACTTGGCAGTTAGGGCAAAAATGCAGAGCAGTTACAGTGTGGAGATTTCTGCCGTCTCTCTTTCATGACCTATTTTCCCTTACCCAGAGTTGCCATAGAGCCCTTTGAAGTTAGAAGCCTCTGTTGAAGAGGTAAAGTTGGCACCACGATGTCTTCTTTTTGGTTCTCCAACCAATACATGTAGGACAGACCAGTCTCCCAGCATCAGCTAAGTGTGCCACGCCCCATACACTTGGGTGAAGCCCAGGTGGGAATGGCTAGGGGTAGAGTTCTTTGTGGCCACCCGAGACCAATGAATGCTTTGTTATTTACTCTTGGAAATGCCTCTTATTTTTGAATACCTAGGAGAGCTTTTTCTCTCAAAGGGCAAAACAGTAATAATAACAATTAATAGTAATAATAATAACAATACAGTGATTCTGGCCAGCTCCGCATTCAGCAATTCCCTGCCCTAGAAAACAGGGAAGAGAAACAAGAGTCCCCCTGAGAATTAGCTCCCCCCAAAGGCGTGCGTGTGTGTGTGTGATGACTGCTCTGTGAACTGAGGGAAGGAAGACCAGGCCTGCCCGTGCATAATGGAATTTGCTGTATGGCCCTGTGTCATGTTGTACCCTGAAAAAGTCCAGTTCATGTTCATCCCCAGAAAGACAGAGTAAGGAGCCAGCTAATATCTTACACCCAGAAACTGTAACTCTGTTAGTGTTCAGTTTTTTTAATATTCACTTTTCACACAAACTCTTGGGTACGAATGAGTAAGGGCACATTTCAAATCCCCTGCCCTGGTCCCAAAGTCCCCCACTGTTAAAAGCAGCTGTGAACTCTCCATGTCCCCTGCCCCTCAAATAGCTACCTATTTAGTGCAGGTGTTCACAGACAGTTTGGGCTATTTCTGGTAAATTCTGCTGACCCATGTTGCATAGCCAGACCAACCTCAACTATATCTTTCTCACAATGGAATAAGAAACACTGAATGTAGTTTTTCTGGTTCGTGTCAACCTAAGTTTACTGATTTTAGCTTTGAAAAAAAATGCTGGGTAAAATTATAAACCCTACAATGTTTTATTTTAAGATTTGGGCAAGTTGTAAGGGAGTGTTTGGTAGCATAAGATTTTTTTAAGCTTTATTTTAGCCAACTATTTTTAGGTTAATCATGGGGTAGGCTATCTAAACCAATTATTTCAATTTTAGTAGCATGTAATCTTTGAAAGAGCCTAATTAAAAGATTCATATGCCTCTCTCTCTTCCTCTCTCTATCTGTGTGTGTGTGTGTGTGCACATGTGTGTACACTCAGGTTTTTGTTGAGGAAAAAAAAAGAGTACTTTGTATATAACTGATTTTCTTCTTTTTAGGTGAGAACCCTTTGGCTGATGACCAGAGCAACCACGATATCAATTCTGTGGCTGGCGTTCTGAAGCTCTACTTCCGAGGGCTGGAAAACCCCCTCTTTCCCAAGGAAAGGTTTAATGACCTTATTTCTTGTATCAGTAAGTGAGCTTTTCCTATTCCTTTTCTCTCATTCTTTCCTCAGCCAAATTCTTCTCCTCACCAACTGCCCTCCTGGACAGGCAACTGCCCTCATTCACATACCCCACCCCATTTGCTCCATCACCACAAACCGCCTGAGGCCGTTGGCTTCCAGTCTGCGTCCAATGTGAGTCACCCTCACCCTGCGCTCAGTGGACTTGGCTTTGTAGCTGGGAGGTGACCACATGGTCGCCAGAAAAAGCAAAAGTGCCAGCCGAGAGGAAAACAATATGAGCTTGGGAGTCAGAAATGCAGCTTTTTCATTGTTGATTTTTCTCAATCTATATTAAAAGATGTTTTAATATTCCTTCAAGAATAAGGTAAAATAAGATATAAGGCCATTTGTATGGTATAAGAACGCCACATGGTAAGTATCTGTCAGCAGGGATCCTGAGCCGATAGGAGTATTGTGTGCAATGTATTATGAGGCGGATAGTCAGTCATCAGAGAAGCATTGGTACCTGTTCCCAGTCAGATTTCATGACCCTGTAAATACAGTGCCTCTCTAAGTCCACATCCCCAGGTTGACCAGTTGACCTCAACCACATAAGATTTCATAAGAATCAGATTTCACGCTTAGCTGACCTAATGTGCAATATACATCACACTTCAGAAGGCATTGTTCAGGTTTGTAGGCTACACTTGCCACACTTAATTCTCAGTACGTAGTAAGTGTTCAGTCCATCGTTGTTGGTAAAGTTTAAAAGAAAAGAGCAAGTTAGCACCAGAAGTCCTCCTGCTGCCGTCAGCACCTAAAGTCCTGCTTCTTGTTGTGTGTTCGCTGCTCAACTGCAGTACTGCCCAGCCGTTCCAGGCAGATATCCTGTATGGAGTTCACACAGGTGAGTGGTGTGGCCATTCATCCCACCCATCTTTCGTAGCCTGAATCCTTGACAGCCACTGCCGGCCCGGCGGGAAATAACTGAACTGGAGGTGTCTCTAGAATTCTCCCTCTGCCATGTCGAGAACTTCCCTCGTGTCCTTGCCAGAGAGTTAAGTCTGGACTCCTAAGTCTTTCTGTGGTTTTCTGAGGATATACCTCACATCAACCAAAATGCAGCAGCCAGGCCAAGGCCATGGGGCTGCACTATCTGTTAGCATTACTGAGTTACGTCACACTTCCATGGGTGAGAAATGGTATTCCTCTGTTGGTGTCCATAACTGAGGTCACTGGGCTAGGAAGACTTAGGTTCAAATCCTGGCTTTGTGAGCTTTATGAACTTGGATGGAATTAATTCTTAATCTTATTAAATAGCTTGCTTCTTTTAACTTCATAGAGTCTGCGTAAAGAACAGATCAGATAATTCAGGTAAAGTGTTTAGCCTCGTACTCAGACAAAGTAAGCTTTCATCCGTGTCCCTAGTCCTCATCACTTCTGTGACAGCTGGGCCTCAGGAAAACTTGGGTCACACTGCCGATACCTGGTACAACCGCTTAGCTGCCTAGCTGTTCTCCCCAATGTATTTCTCTGGCATAATTGCTTCAGATGCCTTTAGGAATTAAGTTGCTGTGTCCAAAACATGATATTGGTTCAAGTGTGACTTTTCTGTAACAATCAGGCAAGGTTTTTTACCAAATCGGGCTTACCAAAATATGGTAAGAAAACATACAATACATGGAAATTTTGTTTACTTTTTGTGTGTGTGTGCATGCATATGTGTGGATGAGTATGTATATGTGTGTGTGTGTGTGTCTGTATGTGTGTGTGAATGTGTGTGTATAATGGTAGGGCACACATGTCATGGCATATACATGAGTATGTATGTGTGTGTATCTGTATCTATGTGTGTGTCTGTGATGGTAGGGCACACATGTCTGTGTGTGTGTGTGTGTGTGTGTGTGTGTGTGTGTCTGTGATGGTAGGGCACATATGTCATGGTGTACATGTGGCGATCAGAGGACAGTCTTCAGCAGTCATTTACCATCTTCACTGTAGAATCCAGGGATCCAGCTCAGGTTGTTCGGCTTGCACTTCTACCCATCTCCCTGGTCTTGGTGGGTTTTTGGTGTGGGTTTTGGTTTTTTCCAGTACTGAGTTTCAAACCCAGGCCTTTGCATTCCCCATTCCAATACCCATGTCTTAGAGAAGACACAGGAATGCCAGGGCTGCAGGTTTCTGGGTGCATTTGCAGCCTGAGGTTTAACTGAGCTGGTGTCGTGACTTAGGAAGTGAATGTTCCGCTTACAAACTCTCCTATGTATGGAGCAGTCTGCCTCAATCATGTTTTTCCTAATACTATTTGTAGTGGACGTTTCTTCAGAATAGGGGCTCTTTTCAAAGATGATTTTTAGATCTCTCCTTATGTAACAGCCACTTTATATAACAAGCAGCTTTCTTCCCATCTCTAACCTCTTTAAAAGGAGGAGACGCCTGGCTAATACTGACTGATCTCTGGATCAGCAGTAGTTCCTACCAACATGACTCTGGTATACCTGCATTTCCCCCTAACTTTTCCATAAATTCTTTGAAAGAGGCATGCCACCCATTATTGTATCCCCTTCACCAATACCACATACAAACTTGTTGTTTGTTGTTGCTATGTGTGTGAGAGACAGACAGACAGAACTCTGGAGCAAATATGGAGGACAGCTTCCAGGAGTTGGCCCTCTCCTTCCACTCCACTGAAGCAGGATCTCTCTAGTTGTTTCTTTGCCATATATTCTGCAAGCTTTGGGACAACTCTGTCTTGGCCTCCCATCTCCCCTTAAGGTGGTGGGGGTACAGATTCCCACCACTGTAGCCAGACTTCTAGACTTCTAACTCAGATCCAGAAGTTGAACTCAGGACATCGGGCTTGTATCCATGTACCTGATACTATAAGCTTTATACTCTTAGGATCAAACCAATGGCTTGTCTCCTATGCTCAGAGCTTTCCGGCGACTCGGTGACTTGATTCCTGCGTTGAAGAAACTTAAAATCTAGCAAGAAGGAGAATACAGCATACCCTGAGACTGAAAGCTGTAGTGGGAAGGAACCTCAGGGTAACAGAAACGTTTGCCTGTGACCTCTTAATCATTGCAGTGGTTGGGTTTGATTTTCCCATAAGATCATTTCTTGTGGCAGCTCATGGGGAAAGGTCTCTCTCCCTTTCATTGTTCCTAGCTTTCTGCTAGGAACATGTGTGCATGAGTTGTTTGCCTGCTTCTTTGTGTCTCCAAAGAGCCTCATTCTTCAGAAGCCTAGATGGATGTAGTAAAGGGAGGGGGTTGTAACACATTCTCTGTGGTTAATGTATGAGATCCAGTCCCTAACTCACTGGAAATCCCTTCTAAAGGATGACTTAGCCAGATGATCACACGATGAAATCAGATTAAATATACATTGGAAAATGACAGGCCTCGCTGCGTCTCGGTTTCTCACCCAAACATTGTTTTGGCTGTTTGCTTTTTTAAACTGGCTGCTTTCTGAATGACTTTGTGAGTGCTTCTGACCACACCAGCAGTCAGGCAGCTTGCAGCAGGACCGTGCATTACGGCTCTAGATTCCTGAGGTTTACAGCTAAGCAATTACTCAAGTAAGGCATGAAATTTTTTTTTCCTGGCCTGGTCATGGGCACAGATGAAACATTGCACTTCATTTTGCATAATGTATTATCATTTAGGTGACTCCTTAGACATGAGAAAACATTTTTATAGCAGGAGATATTTTTCCTGGCACAGAAATAACCCTAAAAATACATAAAACTCACACAGGATGACATACTGCCCCCCCCCATAAGCCACCACCCAAGGAGAAGCAATGATGTGTTCCTTCTGGGCATTTGTGCGTCCTTCTGGGCACAGTGCTTTTGAAGCCAGTGCAGAGCTAGTCTGTCCTTTACCGCTTGTGGCATTCCTTATCACCTGCGGGAGAGGTAACCCCATGACCTCCCTGTAATTAATCACCCAGCTGTAACAATTCCTGCGGCTCAGTTGGCCTACCTCCCAGCTGTCTTCCCTGTGACAAGATACCATGTATCGGTGTGTATCTCTGGGAGAGTAGAAACTCTTTTTTTCCATCAAGGTCCTTATCACAAAACAGTGTGTGATCATTGCAAAGGTGGCTAAAAATGGCTTAAAAGAGCACACTGGAGCAGTGGCGTGGGCACCACGGAGAAACATTCTGTGTGAGAAAAACATCCTCGTGTTGTATGTTAACATGGTATGACCCCGATACCACTGTTACATCCTAAACCCCGCAACTCCTCAGCACCGTCAAGCAGGCAGGTCCATGCTTTTTGCAACTACCTTTTGTTAGGCAATTAGTCTGTGATCCCTGTTGAAAACCATTAAATAAACTAAACACATCCATTGGTCCTCTACACGGCGAGAACTGCAACTCTTCCAGTGCCTCTCCCGATTGTGCACATGATACCAACATACGTGATACATACTCCCCAAAGCAGCTTCATCCACTGGGGAGCACGGGGCACAGTGTTTTAGTCTGCTCACAGTTTTATATAACCATTATCATGGGCGATGTCAGGATGCTTTCATTATCCCAGAAAAAAAAAAAAAAAAAAAGCCCAATTAGCAAACCCTAGCAATCACTTTCCGTTCAACTGTAGCCATAGCCACCCCCAGTCCTCCCAACCGCTTACTAGCTCGCTGTCTCTGTAGATTTACCTCTTCTGGTGTTTCCCATGAATGGACTCATGCTGCTGTGGTCTTTGTAACAAGGCCTTTCACTTAGTGTGTGTCATAATAAGACATTCACCTTATGTTATTAGAAAATAGTAATTCCATTGTCTGAGTATACATGCTTTCAGGGAAACCCATCATATCGTGTAACAGCTAATCAGTTTGAAGTTTCTTTTCAAAATGATGAAAATTATTCTAAAACTGGTGGAGGTGGCATGTAACACTGGTGTATTGAGTTCATTAAGTTTATCATTTAAATGGGCAAAGTATATGATTTGTGATTGTAGCCTCGTATTGCTGCTAGTAGTTAAATTATAGCACAGCATGCTGCCTTTGTGAGCTTATACTTTTAGTATGGTTTTCACTAGTTATATGATGGCTTCTGTTTTATGAAACAAATCCTATTTTTACACACGTGTAATGGCTCGGGAAAGTTAGGAACATACAGAATCCTCTTTTGTGCTTCTTTGTGCATGTATCTATTGTCCACTGTTGGTTATTTCATAGAAAAGAACCTTTGAACTCTATTATTATTATTATGATGATGATGATGATGTGTATATATAGACAACTCCCCCCCCCCAGAGCCCCCTGAGAACTGAACACAAGTCCTGTTCAAGAGCAGTAAGTGCTCTTATCCACTGAGCCATCCTTCCAGCCCCCGAGCTTTGGAACTCTTCCAGATGCCGTATGCTACGGCTATTATAAATTGTCTGCCTCTTCTGATGTACCCCGTGGCTTTCTCTCTAATTCTCCATTTCTATTTGATGTCATAGAATCTCGTTCTTAAGATTCCTTGATCTCTGAAAATGCTTAATTGCTGAGTATCCAATAGGTGATGTCTAAAGCTTTTGAAACAAAGACTCGGTTTCTCTACGGCATGCAATATAATTAGTCAGCAGACCCAGGATTATTATTTGTTGTTTATATAAAATACTTTTGCTTTTTCAAGTGCTGCTGGTGAGCAAGGGGAGAAGGCAGTGGTTCCACTCACAGAAGTCAGTCTAACAGCTGTTTACAGATGTTTCCATGTGTTTATCTCTAACCTTGGGAAGTTAGCAATAACTCGGGTGAAGGCAAGGGAAGGTCCTTCTGTATGCATTAGTATGAACCTCTTTCTTTCCCTCTTATTCACACGAGAAACTGATTCATACCTTGCTTTGGTAGTGTGAGCCTAAGCGTGCCTTGAGATTGGTAACCTCCCCTTGGTCTATGGGCCTCAGAAATACATGTGTACCCGCGTTTAGGGTTCCTTCCTGTATGTGGCCACCAACAGCCTGTCTAAGGAGAAATGTCTACCTTGTGACTTATTGTAGACCTTAGCAAAGAGTGCCACCAAAGAACCAATAAGAGGGGACAGTGGCCATTTGTGCTTGTTGTCATTTCCTTAAGCAGCTCCAGTTTGGGGGCATTTTTCAGACGTGTGCATAGAGCTATCACCCTGCAGCTCTGTCAAGTGGGGGGGGGGTTGGTGTGAGCCCTGAATTGCTAGGAAGAGAACTTAAGTTCTCTTGGGAGCCTTTCACACATCACCAAGCTTAGATGCAGGCCACTTTTACCAACTGCATGAGGTCTTCGGTTGTAGGAGCAAAACCCAGCTTAAGAGAACTCCAGGGGAGGTCAGATTTTCCTGCCACCTCCTGAGCCGAAGGCCCATGAATTGCCAGCTAGAAGCTAATCAGTGTGTTGGTGACAGCCACACATTCAGCCTCGCTAACTGCACTCAGGAGAAGTGAGCTGCTTGCAGCAGAGCTGAGCTCCTGGAGACTGCACATACGAGCCTCCTGTGCAGCCCACAGGGAAACATCTAGGTGTCTGATGTAGGGCTGAGGCCTGGGTGCAGATGAATTGACAGCAGCTTCCAGAACACCAGCAACGGTCCTTGCTCACTCTGGTGTGTGTGTGTCCACTGTAGTTGCAGGCCTCGTACGTTTGCATTGTACAATCTATTGTCATCTTTTTGGAGTCTCTCTTTAGATGCTGTTCAACATCTAAACCTTGCATTTGCACCCCACAGGCTCCCCAGTTCTTTTATGGTGAAGTACAGGACAAAATTCACCATCTTTGGGTGTGTGCTGAAGTGCAATGGGTTCACAGCACTGTGGCTCCATTGTCATTATTTCTAGAATGTTGTCTTCTTCCCAAACAGAAACTTGGTAGCCATCAAACAACAGCTGTCCCATCTTCTCTCCCCGCCAAGCCCTGCAGCTCTGCTCTATGACTTGGCCTAATATAGGTGCCTCCTATGAATTGTATCATGTAGTAATGGTTCACTTTGCTTAGAGTGGCTCCCTCATGGTTCATCCATGGAACGATCTTCCTCTCTCTGACTAATATTCCAATGCACGTCTATACCACGTTATCCCATTCGTCTGTCTACCAATGTCTGGGTTGCTCCCACTTTGGGGCTGTTGTAAATAATGTTGCTGCGAATTGCATGTTCAAGGAGAAAAGAGACGGAGGTTAGGACGCAGAGATTAAGAGGCTGTTCTCGTCAGGCTAAACCACTTCTGGGGTGACCCTCCCTTTACGATATGTGACAGACACTAGAGATAGTAATACAGTTCAGGCAGCGGTGGCAGTAGCACACGCCTCTAATCCCAGCACTCAGGTGGCAAAGTCAGGCAGTTCTCTGAGAGTTCGAGGCCAGCCTGGGCTCCAGAGTGAGTGAGCTCCGGGACAGCCGGGGCTGTTACACAGTGGTAGCATTTTGTATCATTTCCTTTTTGACCTTTTGTTTTCAGCTCTAAGCTAAGACCTCAGTATTTGTCTTGTAGTCCCCAAGATCCTCAATTAAGCAGCACGTGTTTTGTTACATTAGAACCTGTAGGGGCCCTTATATGTAGCCAGCATAAGAGCAGAGAGGTCACTGCCACCCTGGGAGCAGCAGTATGATCTCTGTGGCCATAGTAAACTTAGTAATTGTTTCCTTTGGAGCATAACCATAAAGTCATTTCATCAAAGTTTTCTAATGGGGAAGTGCTACTAAATTTCGGGTTGTTTGATTTTTGTTGTGCATGTGTGTATGTGTGCGCCTACATAAGTTTATGCACACCACACGCACACAGGAGCCCAGAGAGGCCAGAAGAGGACATCAGATCTCCTGGAACTGGAGTTACCGGCAGTGTGAGCTGGAAGCCAAAGCTGGGTCCTCTGTGAGAGCTCCGAACTGCTGAGCTGCCTCTCTGGCCCTCAGCATTAATAGGGGAGCATAATGTATGTCATTTTATGTATCTGAGGGCAGTTGTTCTTTTAACAGAAAGCAGCAACAACTTAGACTCTTTAAAGTCGGCCGCTACAAGCCTTCAGTTAATGGGCAATGTTCTGTGGCATCGCAGTGTTCTGGATACACTGTTGCCACTTAGCGTCTCTGTGACTTGCCAACCTCCTCATGTTACTCCTTCCTCCTCCTCCATCCAGTGTGGTCCCCAGGCTCAACCCCAGGTTGTTGTAGGAGACAGTTGTTAACTGTCTATTCTACTCTTCCAGGCTTCTGTTTCAACCCTGCTAGGGCTACACTGAGTAGTGATCCTGACAACCTAATTGTTGCATTCTTGTGGCCTGAATTTATAAACCTGCTTAGAACCTAGAAATACTAAGTAAGAAACCAGCAAGACCACTTCTCGGACAATAAATATGTATTTATATTCGGTAGATGTTGCCTCCCCCACCCCAATTCACAGTGGATTCTATATATATATATATATATATATATATAATCAGATCAGAAAGTTAAAGGAAGGAAAGTGTTATAGGAATGTTAATCTTACCAGATTTCTAAAGTCGTGTTTTCTGGGAGATGAGCATCCTCAGCGGCGGAAGGAGGTTTTAGTTCCCACTCACACTGACGGACTATGTGCTGTGTGGTGGACTCGTCTGGGGTTGAGCAGAAGTACTCATGTTTTTCCTACCTTTCCAGCTGCGCGGAGGGGGAAACAAAATGCCCTTTGATAATGGGTAGAAAGCAGCTTGAGTCAGCACTGAGAGTTCCAAGAAAATGAGCTTGGTATGAGTAATTAGGGCCACGGTTTCCAACCTTGACTCCATGAAAGAATCCCAGCGATTTTTTAAAACATCCCCCCCCCAGCCCCCGCATGTGACCCCAAGTCAAGGTTGAGCACCACAAGTTAATTCAAAAGAACTAGGTAGGACAGAATGGTAGTCATCCAAGTGACAAATGGTGCCAGTTAACTGGGGAAATGAGCAGTGAGGTCGTCAGGGACGGAACCACCAGAGACAGTGAAGCAAAGGGGAGTCACCATGCTAGAACTGATGATACAGCCTTGAGACTGTCGGAAGTGACCACTAGCACTAAGGAAACAGCCAGCCTGAAGAGATACATTGATTTGTGTGTATCTATATGTATATATGTACTGATAGACATTGATGGATGGATAGATACATTTATATATATATATGTATATATATATATGTGTGTGTGTGTGTGTGTGTGTGTCTGTATATTGATACACATCAACAAATACATCTCTATATATATTGATAGATGGACACATTAATGTGTGTTTGTATATCTGTGACTAGATAAATATGTATTAATATATGTATTGTATTGATAGATGGATAGAGACATACTTTGGTATGTATGTTTGTGTGTATCACCTATATATAGAGATACATGTATTTACATATAGTTAAGTATGTTAATATATTGATATATAGTTAAGTATGTTAATATATATTGATAGATGGATAGACAGATTGTATTGATACTGCTGTATCCCAGAAATCTGACTTAGTTCACAAACAGAAGGAACTGGAGCCATCCAGGAGCCATCCATATGAGCAGCAAAAGTCCTCACACCAATGTTTAAAAAAAAAAAAAACCTCTAACCTCTAAATTACAAATTACTCAAGACCATGGCCGTCACATAAAACAAACCAGTGTGGTACCACAACACTTGTGAAGCAAAGACCAGAGGATTTTGAGTTTGGGATCATAGGGGTTACACGAGACCATCTCTAAAAACTTAAACTGGGTGGAGAAAGAGGTAAGGTCAGCGTGCAGGTGAACTCAGGGAAAACAGTGAATGCTGTTGGGTCAGAGGAAACCCCACCCCTGGCGACGGTGACACACACGAGTTACCGTGTCCCGCGATGGTCAAGGTGTTGCTGCTCCTTGGGTGTGTCCCTGCAAGGCGTGCTGCCGTGACCGGAGGGACGCTGACCATGTTCTTCTGTCCTGCAGGAATAGACAATCTCTACGAGAGGGCGCTTCACATCCGCAAGCTCCTCTTGACTCTGCCCAGGTCGGTCCTCATAGTGATGAGGTATCTGTTCGCCTTTCTCAATCAGTAAGTACCCGTGTTCTGTCAACATGCCTGTCTGCATTCTGTCCATGGTCCTTGAATGCTACAGAATGTGCATCGAGTTCCAGTCACCAGCAGAGATGGGGCGGGACGTGACTGAATGTAAGCCGAGGGAACTTTTTTCCCCTCAGAAGATCAAGGTCTTTTTGGGATACATGAAAAGTCTGGAGAAACTGTGGCCGGCCGTAAATGCAAAATATCCAGAATGCTGCTATAAATAACACTTTGCAATGAAATGTGTGGGTTTTTTTTTCAGCTTCCATGCAAAGCGCATGTCGTAAATATGTAAACCATCTTCTCCTAGCCCCCCCCAAAAAATCACTCTTTTTATAAAATGTTGTAGGGAATAGAGGGAGGTTATAGATAATTTAGACATTAGTGCAAAAGCAGGGTTTTCACAGTTCCCTGTAATGAGACCTTGTAGAGAAGAAAATACTTGTCTTCCAGTCTACTACGATGAAGCGGGAATCTTGAGGAAAGCTTGATTCTTGATGGGTTCTCGGTTGTGTTGCTTGCTGAAGAGAGGGTTACACTGTAGACGCGTCTCCCTCAGATCTCATCCCAAAGTCGTCTTGCTTTGCCACATTCCCGTTAAGCAGCTACAAGCCCACAATTCCAGGGAGCCGTCCGCTAAGTGAACAGAGGGTTCCGAGTGTCTCTTCTTCAATGAGGATATTTTTTTTTTCACCCTGGTTTGGATGGAAGTGCTACCTAAAAAAAAGAAAGATGTGTACTGTGTCTGCCGTAAAGAGACAGATGCTACCCATGGTGGCTACCTTTGACTAAGCCTGGTTGTCACAGCCCAGGATCGTCTTGCAAAGAAGCATGCTTTCCCCTTCCCCAACTGATGTGGACCCCGTGGTGACCCACAGTGGCCTAGAAAAGCAATGGTGCAACCCAGAAAGCTCTCGAGGCCTCCATGCAACTCTTGGCGCAGCTCAAGTGAATGGCAAGCACCTCAGGAGTCGCACAGCTGGCACTGAGTTCCTCAGTTCTGCCCACAGGAGCCTGCACTTGCCTGCAAGGAAAGGTTCAGGCTGCCCTGCCCCGCCCCGCCCCGCCCTGCCCTGCCCCGCTTCTGAGTCTGCCTCTGCCTGGGATGCTTTGACTCTAGAATCCTGGAAAGGGGATTAGCTGTTCTTTTCGCCTGTGAAATCACAGAAATCAACTTTTTTTTATAACTCAAGTTTATATTCTTCAAGCTAGGACTAGAGTAAAGGCCTAGAAGGACTAAACCTGACTCTTCCTGCTGAGCTCAGGTATGACTTTTAAAAATTGGACAGTTTTTGTTCTGGATCTTGCTTCTTCCCCTGACCCATGTTTCAAGGTGATCTGTCTCCTGGTGGCAGTGTGCAGCGGAAGGGCGGGCATATGCTAGCTGTGGGGCTCACTTCTAGCATTTTCCACTCGGCACTCTCTTAACCTCCACTAAAAGCTCAAGCACCACGTCAGGTGGCATCTTGTCTGCGACTGTGTCACAAAGGCAGGGAGTCTGCGTTTCCGCCTTCCACTTGTCATCTGCTCACCGCATTTTACATTTCCTTTTGTGGCTGACATTCTATACATTGAAGAGATAACGCCTCCCAAGTCTCCAGAGAACTGCAAATTCCCTGTGCCTTAGAGGCCAGGCATTAAAGAGCGGGCTGGCCGAGAGTCACCTGTGAAATATCTGTAATGTTTCATGAAAATATCATAAGCTTCCGTAAGACCTAGGTTAGAAATTAGTTGCAGACAGCCGGCAATGTCCCCAGAGCTTCCCACCTCAGATGGAACAAGAACAGAATTAAGGCTTTGCCCCTTAGCCTCGTACCCTTCAGTGTCTTTTGTGGCATGAGTTGTCACCTAGGGGCGTTGACGCAGACAGAGCAATGGGTTATTAACCCACAGCTGTCCTTTGCCTCCTTGGAAAAAGAAAAAAAAAGATGTTGTGCTTTTATGCTAGGTGGGCTGTTTTAGTTTTGTATTGTTTTTCAAGATTTGTAAGGAGGGAAAAGTTGAAGACTGGGACTCCTTTGAGTGTCCGGGCAAATGTAAAGATATAATCGTAAAGCTTTATGGAAACTGTACTGCACAGCCAGACTGCCTGGAGCTGGGCAGACTTATGAGCCTCCAGCTTAATTTCCCAGTGAGACTCAACTTGGCCCTTATATCTATCAGTCATTTTAAACTCACGACTTTAGGAGGTGCCTCTCGCTCACACAGAGAGGATGCGTGTTCTCTCCTCGTTTCCTGTGTGGTTGATCGTGGTTGGCTTACACTGATTGGTGTTCACTTGAATGGGATAGGATATCGTATTTTCTCTGATTAAAAGAAAACAAAGACGTTGTTTAATCCATGTTTTCAAAATACAAGGTAAGGGTGCTGGAGAGATGGCTCCGTGCTGAGACTGTGCACGAACTCTTCCGTAGGATGTGAGTTCAAATCCCAGCACCCACATCAGGTGCCTCACAGCCACCCGTAACTCCAGCTCCAGGGGACCTTGCATGCCCTTATGCCCTCCACGGGGCACCTTTGCTCTCATGTGTCTACACACAAAAATGCATACATGCACACACTCACACACAGAGAGACACACACACACACACTCACACACATTCTTTTTTAGTAAAATAAATTTAAAATGTGAAGTGTCCTGTCGAGCAGGTTCTTTCCCCACACCCCTCCTTTACAAGTTCTTCCTTCCTTTTATAGTCTTTCCCAGTACAGTGACGAGAACATGATGGACCCTTATAATCTGGCCATTTGCTTTGGCCCAACCTTGATGCCTGTTCCGGAGATACAGGACCAAGTGTCTTGCCAGGCACACGTGAATGAAATCGTAAAGACCATCATCATCCACCACGAGGCTATTTTCCCGGACACTAAAGAGCTGGATGGCCCAGTGTATGAGAAATGCATGGCTGGAGGCGACTACTGGTGAGTCCCAGAGCAGAGCCCGACCCCTTAGGGACGCACAGCTACTGACCGGATGGTAAAAGTGAGTTAATCCAGCACCGAGGAGTTGAAAGTGCTGGCTGCTGAGTCATGAGGACCAGAGTTCAGACCCCCAAGCACCTACATCAAAGTTAGGTACAACAGTATGTCTGTAACTCCGGCACTGAGGCGTAGAGGCAGGAGGATGCGGGGAGCTCCCTGGCTATCCTGCCTCTCTCCAAACAGTGAGCTCCAGGCTCAGTTAGAGAGAGACCCTGCTCCAAAACACAAGGGAGGGTACAGTAGAGGGACAGTCCGGGGTGTAGGCCATCATGGCAGCAGAGACACGAGGCAGCTGCTCAGAGCACATCAGCACCCGGGAAGCGGAGGGGAGGGCAATGATGCCCGTGCCTTGAAGGAGCTCTCCTCTTCCTCCTGTGCCGTCCGGGACCGTACTGTCGGGGTGGGTCTTTCCACATGAACTAACCGAACCAGGGAATCTCTCACAGGCGTGCCCGGAGGCCAGGCACTTAGGTTACTCTAGAGCTCGCCGACATTGATGCTATTACGGTAACTGTCATAAACGTCATAGAACCAGGTAATCGTCGGAGGCTCTGGCGTCCCGGGGCCCGATTATCCAGAAATGTTTCCGCACTGGAAGTCTTGTGTTTTTCCTTGCTGTCGTAATTACTCATTTAGAAAGCAATACTCTTTGTTTCTCACGTGCTCTTTCTCCCAACAGCGACAGCCCATACAGTGAGCATGGTACGCTGGAGGAAGTGGACCAAGACGCGGGCACAGAGCCCCACACCAGCGAAGACGGTGAGTCCCGCCAGGGGCTCCTCGAAGTTGCTTTTGTTTTGTCTAAGCAACAGAGTTCCCTGGCTTCTCTCATTTGATTGGTGTTCGTTTTGTTCTCATGTTCTAAGAACCGGTGCTCCTCTCTTTGTGTGCCTGGTTTAAAGCAGGAGGGTTTAGCGCACTTGGATGGTTTGTATTTTGTGCTGGGTCAACTTTAAGAAATCCTTCTAACCCCTGAGAGAATGGAGACAGTCCTGTAGCCTGTCCTCGCCCTTGCTCTTAACACATGACAGACCTCCCCTCCTCGCCCCGTTTCCGGCACACCATACGCGTCGTTGTGACCATAGATCCAGCGCTACACAGCAGGTCTCTAGGGCGTGTCCACCTTGCCTGACAAACTCCCTACCTCGCCCTCCTCCCAGCCCTTGGCGACCTCCACACCCCTTCATGCTGTGCATTTGACGGTCTTAGGCTCATGGTACAAGTGGAACATGCAATAGCCTGGCTTGCTTCGGGTCCACGCATGTTGTCCCGTGTTGGAGCACTTACATGCATTGCTCTGCGTGCTCGTCTGTGTCACACTTTCCTTACCTGTCTTCCGGGACCTGTTTCCACAGCTCCCTTCCTGTGAGCAGAGCTGCAGGAACCCAGGACCTGGTCGTTTCTCTCTTTGTGATTCCAGTTGCAGGGCTTTTGGAGAACCACCTGAGTTCTAGGTCATATAATCCCTCTATCGTAATTTTTTAGGACCCACTCCCCTCCCGGTTTCCGCAGCACCCGCCACATTGCACGCCCCCCCCCCCCAACAGGACAGTTCTCGGTCGTCCAGACCCTTGCCCCTTGTTGCCGTTGTCAGGGAGCCCTCCAGCAGCATCAGGAGCATGTCACTGCGGCTTTGATTGTCACGTCTTTGGCAGTGATGGTATTAGCCCTTTGCCATGTCCGCTGTGGTCCTGTATTCTCTTTGAATTCCTTCGAAAACTGTAGTCCTTACTCTTATAGAGGTTTATGTGGCGGTCGTGACATGAAGTCGGGGCCATTTACTTTTCCTCCACGTGGGTGACGCTGCCACCCCTGTCCCAGTATCAGCTGGCTTTCGCAGCATTGTAAGCCGGGTGCCTTCTGTGTGTGAAGTGGCCTCCTGTATTCTGTCTTTCCCACTGGCTTACTTTAATCGCTGTCTTCACGTGAGACCTTTTAATTAATTAGAACAGAAAACAAAGCTTTGTCCTTTTTACCCTCTTGGTACTTTTCCACTTTAGATTTTTAGACTGTGTTTAAATACGAAAATAATAATAATAATAATAAAACCCTGCAGCGAGGAGGGCTGTGGTCGCACTTGTTTGCAGATGCTGACGTGGAGAGAGCTGCTGGTCTGCACTGTTTGTGTTTCAGCCCGCGCGCCTATTGCCAGTCTCCAAATTAACTCTGATACGGTCCCTTAAGAGACCATTTCTAACTTCTTCTGACTTTGTAAGTGGCATGCTTAGCACCGATTTTTAGCACTTTTCCTGTGATGTGAGGTTGAGCCCATGACTATCTGCATGTGAAAAAGGTGCTCTACTCACCAGCCTTTAGGTTTTTTATTGTTGTGGTTATTTTGGTTTTTTAAGACTGACTCTTGCCAGGCAATAATGGTGCACACCTTTAATGCCAGCACTCCAGAGGCATAGGCAGGTGAATCTTTGAGTTCTAGGACCACCAGGGCCACATAGAGAAACCCTGTCTCAAAGCCATAACAAAAAAAAAGGACAGAGCCTTGCTATGTAGTACAGACTGACTGTGCACTTAAACTCCCCAGTGCTGGGGTTGTTGGTATGCACCACCGTGCCCAGACCCTTTTCTGTAAGTTTTCTCTTAGAACCTCTCCAGATGGATGCAGTTCCTTCATCCACTGAATTTCTGTTTTATTCCTGAACATTCTACCTGGTATATTTAACATATCTGCTGCTTGGCCATTGGGGTGTGTGTGTGTGTGTGTGTGTGTGTGTGTGTGTGTGTGTGTGTGTGTGTGTAAGCTCCTTGATCTTTACTCCTAAATATTGGACCTTTTCCCCATTCCACAGTACATGTCTAATAATTCTGGTCCATTTGCTGAAACTTCCATTAGCTCTCACTCAGCAGGTCTGGTTTTCTAGCGTGCGTTGCATTTCCGATGTGTGTCTTAGAACTTTTGACTCATGATATTATAGCCTTCTCCAGTGTATCTTTCCATTCATTTCTCCCAGAGGCAGAGCAGGTTATAGTACAACACGCCGTTTTCAGCTTGAAGGTTTCCACATGGTCGGGTGCTAGGATTTTCAGACCAGCCTGAGGGTAACAGTCCACTCAGGATTCTCAGAGATGATGGGTACCAGAGCCTTGAGATGGTTATTTCCTTTGGGTGGTGGGCAGAGCTGTACAGTGAGGGAGATGCTGACGGCCTGTGAAGATTCCCAAGACGGTAGGGTTCTAGGATGTCACATTGAAGTTCGCTAGGACAGGACGAATGCAGTTCTTTTGGGAGGGCAGGAGGGTGCTCAGGTTGCGGTCGGGTTGCTCATGTCAAGCAGGCCCTAGCCTTGAGCTCCTTGAAGACCGACAGAGCCTGGCTCATGACGCCCGTGTCCCATAACCACCCTGGCTCTCTCACTTTGGCCTTTGATTCTCCCTCCTGGCTTAGTGATGTAACTTTAAAAGATTGGGGGGGGGATCTAGCAGAAGAGTGGTTGGGATGTTTAGTGCAGTGTCGATTATCTGCTAAGGAAGAAAACATTTGTCCTTGTGTCCTTTTTATTAAAAATGAATTTTGTTCATGCAGTGTATTCTGGGCATTGCTTCCCTCCCCACCTCTCCCCCCATGCTTCTGTGTGTCTCGTTAGAAGACAAACAGCCAAATAAGAAAATTCAATGGAACAAAAACGTCAAAGCACGAGAAACACATGTAAAACCCATAAAAGCACAAAATTGGAAAGCATAATATATAAGCAAAAACAAACAAACAAAAAAGCAGCTTTGGGTGAAAAATGCCCAAACAAAGCAATATGAAACAATTGTTTTAAATCTCCAAAATATGTCATTGAGTTAATTTTGTGTTGGCCATCTACTGCTAGGCATGAGCCTCACCCTTAAGCATGGTTTGTTTGCCCTTTGTGAGCAATTATCCGTTGCAGACTTTGAAGGCTTGTGTCCACCCCATCTGGCTTGGACCTGTGCAAGCTGTCACAGTCTCTGAATTCATTCCTGTTGTGTCCTCCGTCCCTTACACCCTCTTCTTCTGAAGCATCCCCGCAGCTGTGAGGGGAGGGATTTGATGGAGACATCGCATTTAGGGATCACTGCTCCAAGATTTCTCCATCTCTACATATTGCTTGGCAGTATCTTTGGGTCTCTGCCTTTGTTCCCATTTGCCGCAGGAGGAAGCTTCTCTGATGATGGCCGAGCAAGGCACTGATCTGCGCCATTAGGAGTCATTTTATTGCTGCATTCCCTTAGCAGAGCAATAGTATTTGGTTTTCCCTCAAGTCCTGCTTGTTTGGCCACAGGAGCAGAGTCAGACATGAGTTCCGTCTCATGGAGCAGGGTCATAAACCTTGTGTTCTCCTCTAAAGTACAGTGAACTGGCATTTCCCTGGGCTTAAGGGGCATTCTTTAAAGTGAGAGCTCAATTTTTCTGTGATGTTTCTCAACTTCTGAGAGCCTCCTCTGATACCCCCTTTCATCATCTTAGGTCTCTGTGCGTCTGTGTCTGGCCCATTCTTTTCCCTGTTTCTTTTTTTCCCTGCTGACTTCTGAGTGTTCCTTTGCTTTCTATGGTAGAGGAAAAGCCTAGGCAAAACCCAACCATCTCTCCCCACGTACTGGCTCAACTGCATGCCAAGTGTCTTTGTTGAACACACAACGCGATAGATCTCATTGTGTTCGTGGCCACCACTTTTGCTGGAAAGAAAAGCATTGCTCTCAAAGAATGTGTTCTTACCCACAGCCACAGCCCTCAAAGTTCCGTGACTAAATTAACTGGAACGTGGGTTGTCCCTTTGGCTATCAGAGATCCTATCATGGTTTCGCTAGAGACCAAATTCTGTCTTCAAGACGGGCTGTCACAGAACAAAACTAACCTCCGCAAAGGCATGGATGACAAATCTAGAAGGAAGTGTACTGGGGATAGTAAAGTTTGTAAGAGAAGGCACAGCGTCATTACGTCATTCTAAAACTGCAGCGGGAGCATGGGACTTGATAACACCAGGCAGCCACTCTGCTGGGTCCACTAGCAAAAGCACTGAGAAACCACGCTACACCCTTGCTATCATTAGTAATGATGTCAGCAGTAGCAGCATTCTGGGAAGTCTCCACAGGACCCTAAAGGACCAGAAGAGTCTCTGTATTAAAGAGCCATGGCGCCCCATGCCCCGAGATTGATTTGACATGCAATGCCCAGACTAAGATGTCTGTAAATAGCTTATTGATTGACACTTGACTGTGCAAGGGCTCCCGGGAGAGTACAAAGAGTCAAAATAATGAAATTGCTGAAAATTACTTGTTGATGTATCTAGGGTCACCGATAAAACGGTCGCCTGGCACAAGTGGTCATCCTTGCACAACCTGCCCCCACGGCTCAGGAAATCACTGGGTCTGATGGTCCCGGAGCCTGTTATGTGTAAACGCCATGATAAAGAGATGTGACAGTCACAGAGGTCATGGTTCTGAAATTGCCGTGTATGTAATGTAGATGTTCTAGACAGCCTTTGGCCAGCAGTAACACTACATGCATGGAAGAGACATTAAGCCCCTTGTCTCTCCTTGACACATTGTGCATAGACTGTATATCCTGTCCTCTGGCGACAGCTTCTCATCTTTTAATTAAAAGTATAAATATAAGGGAATGTTGACATGAGGGTTTGGCAGATCCTTTGTCATGAAGTTACTTTTAATATACGAGCGGGTCTTCACTCCGTGAGTAGATTTGTTTCTATCCTCCGTGGAAAACGGGAGTGCAGATTTTCGTATCTCATCGCCTGAGAGCAACCAGGGTTCATTCTTTCTCTGGAAACTTGGAGCAGAGGGTCATTCCGTTGAAATGGAAAGTCTAACCCTCTCTTCTGTAAAGGTTGAATAGTTCTCGCACTTGGGTTTTTCTAACAAAACGTGATCTGAGGTGGTATGCTATCTACTTTTCTCTTCGCTCCAACAGAATTGCTGGAAGCAGCAACTTGGGGAGGGGGGTGTTTGTTTTGACTCATAGTTCAATAGATGTGGTCCACTGTGACAGGGAAGACAGGGTCGTGAGTGACAGGTGGCTGGTTTCCTTCAGGGAGCAGAGAATTTGGCTATACCTTCACCTACTTCTAACTCCCTAGCCCTGCCCACTACAGGTCAACCTCCGCCGGGCAGACACCATCCAGAAGGAAGAACAGTGTCCCGCAACAGTGCCACCCGACCATGGACCAACCATTAAAAACTATGAGCCATGGGAACATTTCACAGTCAACCCAGAAGTTTCATCCAGTTGTTAAGAAGACTTAGATCATTGTTCTGAAGGGTCTAGTGTTATGTTTGGGCATTAACAAACCCAGTCTTAAAACGAGCTGCTGTACTTGACACGAGCCCTTCACACGAAGGTTTCCAGCGTTCTGCTTAAATGTCTGAGAATTTTTAATTTATGGAGAGAGAGAAGCCCAGCAGCTCTCATTTTCCCCAAATTTATCACGTCATTATTATCAATAATGGAGAAGAATGAGCTCTTACAGGGGAGTCAGTTTGTTATCACAAGTAGAAAGCAATTTCCTGAACTTGAGAGATGGTAGGCTCTACTCTGCCTCCTTGCCTGCACATTCTAGAATATTTTGAAATTAACACATGCCTGGATTTTAGCAAATAAGGGATCTCGATCACTATACAGATGTTCCTGTAAACATACACTCCTTGCATTTTCCACCAGGGGTCCCCTCGTGTCTGTTGGCCAGCTGGTGGGAGAGGAGGAGAAAGGCCTTGATTGAAGACATTTCTGCATAGACTGAATCACAAAGCACCCTTCAGAGGGGTTTGATTTAGTTTGCCTTTTAGTATTTAATCACATTAAATCAGAGCTGGACCAGAGTTTAATGGTTTGTTCTCTCCCTCTCCCCAAGGTTACAGATTTGTTTGTGGATGTAAAAAACCTATACACAGTGACAAATGTGTACACGTGTTTGACCATGGTCACATTGCACCAGGGTGTGTCATCCGTCACACGACCACAGTCACAGCCAACATAAAGGTGGCTTGCATGGAAAGGAAACTTGTGCTGCCTCTTACAGCCGCGGCCACTTCCTCCTTCACCTGACCTACAGTAACCCACGGCAGCCACTAGCCTACCCTACAGCTCTGCCGCCATGGCACTGTGAATGAACGGGATTGTTCAGTCTGTCTGAGGTCCTGACTTTTTCCTTATCACAGTCTCTCCCACCTCCCAGAAAACACACTTTTTTAATCTGATCTATTACTTCTAGTGCAGGGCCGTCTAACATGGGAATGTTTCATAATTAAATCTGAAAGTTTCGTAAAGTCAAAGAAAGATTTCCTACGTGTTGATGTTAACTTTGAGACAACAACAAAAAAAGCCCATGAGGAGAATAAATGTATTTAAATAGCATTTATCAAGATGGTTTTGTGAATTTTTTTTAAGCTAATAAATCCTGTTTGCTAGAATCATGACTTTTTTTTTTCCTTGTTATAAATGCCACTACCATGTTGCAGGGACACTCCATCAATGTCAGAAGAAAATTAGAACAACTGTGGAGGATATTACAACCAAGGAGAGGTTTTATATATCATATTGCAAAGTCAAAATCTTTTTATTATACTGTCATTGTATCTCAAATAAGGGGTTGAGGAAATTAAGACCTAGTGCACAATTTTTCTCTGCCTGGAAAACTGATGATAGCCAGACTTATCTCGCTCCTTTCGCTCCCCCCATACCCACCCCTCCCTGCCATCAGTTGCCTCCTGTTTGATGGTTGCCCCATTCAGCCTGTTTCTAAAGCTTCATGTTGACCTTTCGGAGAATGCATTGTGCCTTCCTGACTTCCCTGTCACTTATTCTCTGCAGAGTGTGAGCCGATTGAAGCGATAGCCAAATTTGACTACGTAGGGCGGTCTGCTAGAGAGCTGTCCTTCAAGAAGGGTGCGTCCCTGCTGCTCTATCACCGAGCCTCTGAGGATTGGTGGGAAGGCAGGCACAACGGAATCGACGGGCTTGTGCCTCATCAGTACATAGTGGTGCAAGACATGTGAGTAGCCCCAACGTTGCAGTGGCCAGAGCGGAGAAAGGGCTAAGAATTCAACCCAGGGTTTCGCATATGCTAAGCAAGTGTTCATTTGCTGAGCTACAGCCCACTCATCCCCAGATAGTATTCTTAACTTGAAAGACTAAACTGCACTGGGCAGGTTTTCAGCTTCCTGGAGACGTTAAAGCTAAATGATTAAATCACGGTGCATACTCTATTTGGTGGAGTTCTCTCTTGTCCTTAAGTCTACGCAGATTGGCAGTGCATTAGGAAATGTACTCAGAGAAACCAAGGTGACCAGTTGGTTGGCAGACCGCTTTGTCTGGCATGCACAGACACAGATTCTAGGACACACCACATAAGCAGCTGGAGATGCTGGAATCCCAGACCCTCAAGTGCTAGAGCATGGAACTCAGGAGATCAAGGCCATCCTTGGCTACAGAGCAATGCAAGGCCTGCCTAGGACAAGTGAGACCCTGCTCATTAAAAGGGAAAGTTTGGGATTACACGGCAGGCTGGTTGCTAATAGCTCAGAGTGGGCAACTATTCGTTTCCCAAAGTGGAGCAAGAGCTACTGGGAGACACCTTCTGACCTCTGACCCTGCCCCTGCCCTCTGCCCCTGCCTCTGAAAGCTGACCTTTGCAGAAGTGACTTTTAGAGTTAGCATGACAATGGTGATTCCCAAAATGGCCCATTCTTCTCCTGATGTATGGCTGTTTCAACACACACACACACACACACACACACACACACACACACACACGAGGGAGGATACAGGCTTACAGCCTGAGAGCATTTTGTTAATGCTCTCTGTTTCACCGATGAGAAGGTTCTAAAACTTTCAGCATATTTACATATGTGAGGAGGAGGTGATTTAAGTGAAGGAAACAGCTTACAAAACAGCCCATGAGTAGAGTCCCAGATTTCTAAGTGTACTGTTTCACAATTCATTACCAACTTGAAATAACTTTCCAAGGAAAACAGAAATACACTATATAAAGTGAACAGAAATGCTTAATGGTGTATACATAGCTTTAGAAATAAGTATGTACATGGCAATTGAATAAACATGTATATCTAAACTACTAAACAGAGGTCCACTATCCATAATGTAAATACTGTACATATGCACGCATGTGAGACAGACAGACAGACACACACACACACTCATAGGCATTCTATACACAGGAGCAAAGTGTTGAAGGCTGTCTCCACACTCTTAACCACAGTTGCCTCTTGGTACAATGGGTTTTTGTTGTTTCAAAACGACAAATCCTTGACTGTCCTGGAACTCACTCTGAAGACCAGACTGGCCTGGAACTCACAGAGATCCACTTACCTCTGCCTCCCAAGTGTTAGGATTAAAGGTATGCACTACCACACCTGGCTAGTGTAATAAATGAGTATTACTCTTTTGAATGCCTGAAATTTTCTTGCAGCATAATTTATGTTTAGGATGAAAATCTACTTTAGGGTGCTGGAAGACACTCAAGTTTAAGAGTTCCCAGCACCCAAGTGTGGTGGTTCACAAACGCCTGACCTCAGCTCTAGCAGGTAGGGCGCCCTCTTGTGGCCTCCATAGCATCTGCACTCACATGCACATACTCCCACACAGACACAAAACAAGGCAAGCCAAGTTAATAAGACTTTCATAAATGCCACCCCCTCGTTTTTGTTCCCCTTGTCTCAGGGACGATACATTTTCAGACACTCTGAGCCAAAAAGCCAGCAGTGAAGCCAGCAGTGGGCCGGCCACCGAAGACAAGTCTTCATCCAAGGACATGAGCTCTCCCACAGACCGCCATTCCGACAGCTATTTAGCCAGGTGAGTGACATCTGCTCATCAGCTGCTAACCTCCCTTCTGCAGGGGCTCTGAGGAGCAATCATGCACTCAGCCTTCAAGTATTACCAAGCGTCCTAAGAGTTTTCTGTCTCCTTTTCTTCTTCGGTGAATGTCTAGGCAAAGGAAAAGAGGAGAGCCACCCCCTCCAGGAAGACGTCCTGGCAGGACCAGTGATGGCCATTGTCCCCTCCACCCCCCACACGCTCTTTCTAACTCCTCAATTGACCTGGGGTCCCCAAACCTAGCCAGTCACCCCAGAGGCCTGTTGCAGAACCGCGGCCTCAACAATGACAGTCCTGAGAGGCGGCGGCGGCCGGGCCATGGCAGCCTGACCAACATCAGCCGGCATGACTCCCTTAAGAAGATCGACAGCCCTCCTATCAGGAGGTCTACGTCATCAGGCCAGTACACGGGCTTCAACGACCACAAGCCACTGGACCCGGAAACAATTGCTCAGGTAGAGTGCTTTCAACTGGATGCTGTATTTTAACTACTCGGGTATGGTGAAGGCAATATGGAACACTTAAAAACCTGTAAATAACTAAAAAAAAAAAAAAAAAGGAAATAGTTTTACTGACTAATTTAAAGTTTGGTCATGAATCTCCTGATGATCCATTTGCTACTGGAAAACTAGATTCTAGAAATATTAGACTCTAGAAATTAGATGTGGCAGAGATATAGGAGCCAGGACATTCATACCCATCATTGGTGAAGAGCCAGGAAAATATAGAATGGGAAAGGACCTGCTAACAGAGACTAATACATTCTAAAGCCTGCAAAACAGACAGATGGTTAGAACAGGACAGAAAGCCCACAAACAAAATAAACTAACATAAAAACCAAAGGTGACACTTTCAACTTGGCAACTGAAAAATTCGTCAACAAATCATGTAAAAAATAATGGTTAACCATTTTAAAGACCCATAATGCTGGGTCCTATGTACCTCCCGTCTTCCCTTCCCAACACCGACTCCAGAGAGCGGCCCTGTCTTTTCTAATGGTCAGAACTGACGAGGCAGAGGTAATACAGTATGCATGAGTTCGCCCATCTACCACTGGGCCCTCTGGTTCAGGGAATTGTCTTCGTGCCTAGCGATACAGAAAGTGGATAGATTTGGTACTGGACATGAGCAGTCTCAACTGTCTGCCTGCTCTCTGGAGAGAGCTTTAAAAGTAAGTGGGTCAAGAGAACGGATGAGAAGTAAACAAGAAAATGGATTAGTCAAGGAGGGAGCACCGGGAATCCCCGTGTGACCCACCCCCAGGGAAGGAGGGCCAAGGAATCCCCGTGTGACCCACCCCCAGGGAAGGAGGACCGAGGAATCCCCGTGTGACCCACCCCCAGGGGAGGAGGACCGAGGAATCCCCCTATGACCCATCCCCATTGATTTCGCTAATGATATGACAGCGTTTTGATGGCGACTTAGGCTTTTTGAGTAGTTTGACGCATTTGTAAACAATTAAATGAATTTTAAGTATAGAGCATTTTTTCAGCAAAAGTCCAAAAGGCTTTTGACCTGTGGGTTCTGCTGAGAGGGTCGTGTGAGGCCCCTGGAGATCTATGTAGAACTAGCTCCGTTTGATGATAGCTGAAAGATGTGAGGAGCTCCCAGTTTCGCCGCTGATGAGCAGGTGAAACAGGATTTGGTTTAGAGACAGACCTAGGGGCTCCAGGGTAATAAGACGTAAGCTGTTTAATCCCTTTGCTGCCAGAACCAAGAAATCCAAAAAACAAAACAGATAAACCAACTTCTATGCATTCTGTCTGGGTTAAATAATCAGTTTTTATATATTTTTGTTTTGTTTTGTGTGTGTGATTTTTTTTTTCACTGTGTTTAACACTATAGGAAATCACACATGAAAGTAATTGTTTGGAAAGCAGTATATGTCACTCTTGCAAAATGACTTCTAGCTCTGTCCTTTGTCCACCCATCCCCAGCCTCCAAAGAGTCCCATGGGGACAAAGGAGCATGTCATAGAGTATTCATGCAAAAACATGCAAGTCCCTTTTACTAAGCAAGTCAGTGGGATCCCTGGAGATGACTGGACGATTGTGCTGTCTACAGAGGGGCATCGCCCCATGATTGCCTTTATGCTTTAGCAGATGCTGTAAACTCAATGTAGTATGATGTCTGTGCTTACTCGTTTAGCAAATGCATACTGGGCACTGATGCCGCCAGCTCTATGAAAGGCTTTCTTGATGAACGGGAGGGAGTAGCATGGTTGAGTCCTGAGGATGAAGCAAAGGAACATCTCAGAACATGGCAGGTTTTCACCCCATCCCATCACTGCCAGTTTTGAACTTACTGTTTAAAAAAAAAAAAATCTTACATTTTGCTATTCCCGTCCTTATGAAATAACTCTCCAGACTTTTACACCACTGATACTTTCTACTCAGCAAACAGTAATCCCCAAAGCCCCTGGCAGGCCAGCTCTTTCCATTCCTATGAATCTGAGTAATTCACATGCCTCACATGTGTAGACTCATACAATATTTCTATTTTGTGACTGATTTATTCCATATAGTGCAATACCCACTGCTGGGTCTGCCAAGATTCCCTTCGATTCTGAATGGCACTTCATTTCCTTATGAATATAGATTCATATACATACGTGGAGAGAAAGGCGTATTCTCTCAATTCTTCAGTGCAGTACATTTTGCCCTTTTTATACTGAACTTTGATGATACATTAAATGGTTTCAATTTTAATTCTTTTTGTTGACATAATGTCTTTACAAGTCAGCATTGCCACTCGCTCCCTTAGGTATTTTCCGTTTATGAAACATGTAGCTAATTATGAACTATAACCACCCCACTGTGTTACAGAACACTAGGACTCCTTCATGTGAATGTTAGTTAATGACGATGCAAAGGACACACTGAAATGTGCAGACTTTCCACCAACTCGGTGGTTGGAAATGCATCAGCATGGCAGTAGCATTTTAATTAACATACTGTGTGAAAGATGCTCCTACTAGAGCTGTGTTTTTCTCAAGGATGGATAGTCCCTTGCTCATAGTGTTCCAGTCAAAGGCTGATTCGCGTAACAGTAGCCTTAGAGATTTTACCACCACCGTGCAAAGGGTACTTCATGTTTCTGTATTGTCAGCCTAAATGACAACCAGTGACATTCTTCAGACGTCTTCATTTGGGAATGGCAGAGCCATTGTTTGGGAACGTGTTGTTGTAGTAAACTGGGGCATATTCAAAGAAGTGGAGAGACAGAAACATTTTCAAGGTGGAAAAGGATTGCATTATTTTCAAAGTGTAGACCTTGCTTACAAGGACTAGTAAATGACAACCCTGGCATCCATCCAAGGCTAGACAGACAGTTACTAGGCAGATGCCCGTGCTAGGTCATTGTCCTTGCAGAAGTATTTTCTATGTAAGAGTGCAGTGGCCTTTGTCAAGGCTATAGGTCTGGCAGGGTGCTGTGCATACTTTTGCTTTTTTTTTCGTCTTTTTTAAATCAGGCACACATGCCTAAGATCCCTTCCTTTACAACCTCCACTTTGCCCCTCAAATTTTTCATAAGATGTCAAAATAGGAACGTAGGGTTGGCTATCACTTGTCCCCAACCCCCAAAGAAGGAGTGTGCTTGTTCTCCTCAGGGAAGAGGCATGAACCCTAGACATCTTTAAGTCCAAAGCCAAGATAGCTCTAGAGAGGAAAATGAGACTTCCCGCCTCCTCTACTCTTAGTGTGTTTCTATTTGTGGTGAAACACTAACAAAAAGCAGAAGTCAGGACGGAACTCAGGTGGAGCAGGAACCGACCAAGAGGCCACCTCAGAATGCTGCTTCCTGGCTTGCTGCGCCCGGCTTTCTTGCGCCACCCAAGACCACCTGCCCAGGGGTGCACTGCCCACATGGCCTGGGCCCTCCTCCATCAATTACTGATTAAGAAAAACGCAACACAAGCTTGCCCAGAGGCCAATCCAGGGGAGGCATTACTCTCCCAAAATTACCCTAGCCTGGGTCAAGTTGACAAGCCTAGCCGGCACATTCCTGTGTCTCCCCCCCTCCCCCCGCCCCCTGTAATAGATTCAGGGCTGAGTTAGACTTCTCCTGGGAGAAAGAAGTTGACTTGGGAGGTCCCATGGCCCTCACAGTCTCCAGCGTGGGAGGGAGGGTCACCAGAGTTTACAGAGCTGTACCACCACATAGAATGTAGCATGTAGGTACCAGGACCTGAGTAACCACACTGTAGCTCCTTCTCTGTGTCTCTGCTCCCATCTGCTGTGCTCACCCGACTGGCTGCAGCACCGTACCCCTGGCTACTCAGAGCCTAGGCCCAATAGCCACGCAGGCATCGTTCTCATGTCCCACACACATGCCACCCTGGTCTACAGACAGCCGGGCACAGAAATGCTTCCTTGTACCTGCGAGAGCCACGCCTGACAACCAGGTGGCAGCCCTGCCTGCCAAAGGGCCAGGCAGACAGCTGAGGTCCACAGTGCCTGCATACAACCCTATTGTCCCAACAACAAATCAGGTACCGGCTCCACTCCACCACCACCCCCCCCCACCCAGCGAAACTGTCATTACCACTGCAGTCACCAACTCCTGCATCCTGGACCAATGATGACATAAGAGACATCACTGGCAAGGCTTACAGATGATGTATACAGTAGTCACGTGACTGAGTCCCTCTAGAATCAAGGGCTGCAACTCTGAAAAGAATAACCTATATAATTTGATAATTTAACACTGCACTAGATGTGCAAATATCAACAAAGGAACCGACACGGTATGAAGAGAGTAAGATCACAGTATCACTTGCTAGGGCAGACCCTAAGGAAAGGGAAATTCACAGCCTTGAAACACAAATTGAAAATAATGGCCATTACAGAATTAAGTGAGAACAAGAGAAGACAAACAATTCAGAAAAACACATCCTTTAATGACCTACATGATAAAAACAAAGATCGAAAATCATGGAACAAAACCCAAACGAAAATCTTACACCTCAAGTATTCAATAAGTGGAATTTAAAAAAAACAAAAATACAATTGAAGACTCATAATACAAGACCGCTGAAGCCACAGAATGATTTCCAGGGGTTCGAGATGGGGTTTCTGAATCAACCTAGTCCAAGCAAAACAACCAAACAGTAAATAACCAGCTTTTAAGAAGTAAGTGAATGGGCTTTCCTGCCTCCCCAGGATGTCTGCCAGAACGACACAGATCAAGTCCTCCAAAACTAGGCCAGATCAAGTCCAACAGCAACAGTGAGGTCAACTCCCAGAGGGGTCTCTGGTCCTAGAGATAAAAGGAAGCAGGTAGATTTTATAGGTTGTAGGTAAAGGGTGAGGACGGGCCCACTACGACCTGCCTTTGTGCCCAAATATGGTCAAAATGGAGCATTTAGGTGAGGACCCAGGCAGCTGAAGAAGTCAGGGGAGGAAGCAGCAACTGCCAAGACTAGGGAACCTGGCTTTTTAGCGCCTTTCATTTGTTCTAAGACTAAGTGGGAGGAGTTGAAAGGGAGCGAGAGAAGGGATCAGGCAGGAGCGAGCGGGAGATTCCTCATAGTGCCAGACTTTGAGGGGCTCATTGTCTTCCAAACCACCACAAATATTCATTATTTAAACATTACAATTTGAATGTTCCCATCGCAAAGAAGTAATGAGCATAAGATGCAGTGGACAGACATCATAGCCTAGACAGGTCATTCCACACACATGTATGTACAAATTTCTGCCTAAATGCTTTTTGTATTTTAAGAACCCTGGTTATTATAAACAAGAGTTTTCACTTTGTATGTATCTCAAGAGGGGCTGGGGAGAGGAAGGCACAGTTGGTGAAGTTCTTGATGCACAACCCCAAGAATGTGTATTCCAATCTCAGAACCAACGTTAAAAACCAGGCTGCCATGGGTAGAGGTGGGCTGATCCCTAAGGTCTGCTGGCCAGTCAGCCTACCTTAAGTCAGGGAGTCCCAGAACAGTGAGGCGGTCCTGACTCAAAAGAAAGATGGTTGGCACCCGGTGAATGACCCCTGAGGTTGACCTCGGGCCTGCACATACATACGTGTGTGTGCGTGCGCGCGTGCGCGTGTGCACCTGCCCCTCCCCCATGAACACACACAAAGATGAAATAGAATTCTGATGAATACGGCACAGGTTAGAACAGACCTCAATAGGTTGCCTCAGGATGACAATTGCTTGATCAATGGCTCTGTGTGCATTGCTTTAAGTATCATTTAGAATCAAGCCCAATGTTCAAGGTGACAGTGTACATGCTCTACGGACAGACTATAGAGTCCAGGTGTGCACACTCTTTCCCAGTGTTCTGTGTTTGTGCCGTTACGAGCCTATCCTTTTCTCTCTGCTTTCTCTCCCTCAATAGGACATCGAAGAGACCATGAACACTGCCTTGAATGAACTCCGTGAACTAGAGAGACAGAGCACAGTGAAACACACCCCCGATGTCGTGCTGGACACCTTGGAACAAGTGAAAAACTCGCCCACCCCTGCCGCGTCCATGGAATCTCTCAGCCCGTTGCACAGCGTCACCCTCCGGAGCTCAGAGCCTCAGATCCGCCGGAGCACAAGCTCGTCCAGCGATACCATGAGTACTTTCAAGCCAATGGTGGCGCCCAGGATGGGCGTGCAGCTAAAGCCCCCCGCCCTTAGGCCAAAGCCTGCTGTTCTTCCAAAAACAAATCCTACTGTGGGGCCCGCTGCACCCTCCCAGGGCCCCACAGACAAATCCTGCACGATGTAGAAACCGAGGTCGTGAGGGGAGGGGTCTGAAAGTCAAGATGAATTAGTGACAAGAGTCAGTGACCTGTGACGTTCCTTAGTCTTGCGCTTATAACTGGAGATCTTTAGACTTTTCTATGTTGTCAGATGTCATGATGTCTGGGACTAGCTAAATTAACATGGGCATTTGTATTTTGTAACTTTTTTTAATAACTGGACCTACATCATTTTAAAGACAATAGAAACACGTAGACTTACTTGAAAATACAATGCTGCACCCCTTGTAATGAAGGCAACACCTCGCTCCACATGGTATATGGCTTTGGATTTAGTGTAGCCCAGGTGAGCGCCCTGTAAGCAAGAGAAAGCCCGAGTTCCGGGTCTTACTGGAATGTCACCTGCCTTGTGTGGTCTGTGACACCTTCAGTCCATGGCTTGACGGGGTTCAGTGATGGCCCCTTCCATAGAAGTCATTTCCCTGGATCCGGGTTAGAGACTCCATGGAAGAGGGTAGAAGAAACTCAGATACTGCTTGACCTGAACCTGGAAATGGCCAAGGAAGATGACAGTGTCCCCAGAGCTGTGGACATTTCTCCCTCCGTGGACGTGAGATGTCCAAGTCCACCCCGCTACACATTTACAGAGGACTAGAACAGATGAGTATCGAGGGTTTTCTGGTAACACCACAAACTCCTGTGAAGCTGTTCACTAACTGCCTAAGAAATCCATCTACCCTCCCTCCACCCCCATGTCCTCCTTGATGGCAACGGAAAAGCAAACGGGAATGAACCCTTGGCTCACTCATGTTGTGTGACTAAGATACCTTGGTTCCTTTATGACCCAGAGAGGCCCGGTGGTCCCCGGTCGGAGCCCCCAGCTCTGCTGCCCAAATCTCTTTGAGCCAAGCCAGATCTGGCTACGGTACTGAGCGAGAGCCATGCCAGGCCGCCACGGGAAGATGACCTTGTGGTGCTGGGATGGTTTCTCCCCAGGTTTGTACCTCAGAATCCTGACTTCTGTTCTTGTCTTATTTGTGTTTGATTTGCTCTTTCGAATTTAGCCGGTGATCGCTACAGAACTCATGTAGTCAAATGGACTCAATCAGGGACTTCTTCCCCTGGCATTTTAGCTCATAGCCATTTTTCTTTATTATGTATTTACTATATTTTTTCCTCTAGCTTAAAAAAGAGTGGTAGATTTTGTGTCTGTTTAGTGCTGGGATTGAGCCGGAGGCCTTTTGCATGCAAAGCACACATACTCTACCACTGAGCTGTATCCCTGCCCTCTCCGCCCCCGTCATTCCGAACACTACCGTTTTTTACTAAGGTACAAATCCCCACCTAGCCACAGCAGCTGTATCTGCATTAGCACCAAACTTGCTGAGGGAAGCAGATGGCTCAGAACAAACCCATTTGGACACACCGTTAATTACCTCCTAGGTTTAGTTCCAGACTGGCGTGCCCACCTCAGATTGGCGCAGCGACGACGGTAATTCACGCAGGAACAAATTAAGATCCGCACCAAAATCAAGGTCATGACTGATGGCTACCTCAGGTTGCAGGGGGACAAAATAAATGTGAATGAGACATTCCCTGAAGTCACCCTCGTTTCACAAATGCATTGAAGACACACTCCCCACCCCCAGGCACTTTCAGGTATGGTAAGGTTCTAAACTGCAGCACTGCCAGGCGGCGGTGGCACACACCTTTAATCCCAGCACTTGGGAGGCAGAAGTAGGCGGATCTCTTGAGTTCGAGGCCAGCCTGCTCTACAGGGAGTTCCAGGACAGCCAGAGCTACACACAGAGAAGTAACTCAAAATTTTCAGAACCATTTCTTTTTGGCCATTTTGAGAAAGAAATCGTAGAGACCCAGCCAGGACTGAGCTTTGCTGGACACTGAGCCTTTTAAACATAGCCACCTCTGGATCCACCTCTGGTTTCTTTTGAAACCTGCCATTTATTAGAAAACAATACTGACTGTTAGAACCATTTTTCATCTTTGATGGAAGATGCCAACAGAAGGCATAAGAGGCGAGCAGCTTTAAGTTTAGTTGTAAGTACCTTTTTTCTTAAGCTTTAATTTTAGCTTTTCTGATCTTACTCCTATAACAAACTTCCTTCAAACAGCTCCTCGGCAATCCATGACCTGGCCCACTGTCCACTGTCCGCTGTGTGTCCATCTATGCCTTTCTGCACCCCCTAATCAGGACTTTGCTGCCTTGAAGGCCAAAAGACGTGCTTTTGTAGAGCCTAAGAGCTGGTCCTCTGCCTCCGGGAAATGGCTCCCAGTTTCTTCCCTTCCTTCACTAACCCCCAGCCCCCATCTTTCTCCAGCAGGCCTGGTGGCATTTCCAGACTTACTTTTGTCTCTCAGATGACAGCAAAGCCTTCAGGAAAGCTGTAACCCTACCCTTCCTTTGCTTAGGGATGGGTCAACAGTTTCACACCTTCACATCTGAGGTGGGTACCCTTTGGGCCACGCACAGCACAGCTTAAGATACGGTGTCCCCTGCACAGAGGATCCTAGAAACTGTAGGAGAGCTCACTAAAAGCTGCAGCAGCTGAGATGGGTCACCCCAATTTAAGTCACCCATGTAGCACACATTGGGAGGGCACAAGAAAAGGAAGCAAATGAACCCTGAGGTGTTCTGTCCTCTCCCCCTTCCCACATCTGAGAGTCCACATGCAGAGTTCAGGGGTGGGGTCATTTGATGAGCAAATTATAGTTCACAATAATACCCGACTCCACGTACACAAAATATCCATAGTCAGTAGGACCGTGTCCTGACACAGAGCCCTGATGAAGATTTGCAAAGCCCTTTGGTGTGAGTTGGGGCTTTGAGGAATGGATTGTTAGGAACTGAGTGCGAAATTTTTTTTGGAGTGTCTCAATATACTTTCAAGCTGTTGAGGACGCTCTGTGAAGCTGGGGCTCATGTTTCAAATCAACACCATTGTTCAACCATTTTACTTTCGTTCACACAACATAATCCGACTTCGGTGCCCCGTGAGCCATTCATGAAATAATTCATAATGTGGTCCCACTTACTCTACTACCGTAGTCGTAATTATCAGTGGATAAGGGTCTCCAAGGGTCAGATGGGCTTTGCTGAGTTTTCTGTCTCTACACGTTTGCCATTCCCAAAGTGGCTTTCTAAGTTAAGGGGTAGAGTGGGGTAGGGGTGGTGGTCTCCGAGTTTGGCAATGGCTCAGCCTCTGATGTCTACAAACTGAAGGAAACCGTGATCTGACATCTGAACCCCAACAGTACAGAGAGTCCACTGAGGGCTCAGATTTGGGTTTGTATTTATTCCTGACCAAGATAGAAAAGACCATAAATGCAAGAAATGCTTTTGGGATGCCATCTCTCCTCTATCTGCCACTGAGACCCCAGAGACACAGAGAAGCTAAAACCGAAGACTCTACCACGTGCAAATAGAGCCTCCCTATCTCAGACTACCCACTCCCTGAGCTGGGAGCCCCCCTCAAGCTCCAGCTGGGCTGGAGCATCAGGCTTGACTCCGAAGACTTCAGCAGAGAGTGGAGCCAGAGGCCGAGGTTAGCTTTCACTCGTCCTAGTATACTTTTTATTTAACGTCAAAAGAAATGTCTCAGTGATATAATCAAAGTGGGTACCTGTATCTTTAAATTATATAGGGAATTTTGTATGTTCAAATTATTGTACTGGGTTCCATAATGCTTATCGTAGAAACTAGTAAAATACATAAAGTGCGCGTCTGCGAATGCCCCTCTGTAGAGCGGTCATCTCAGTTCTGCGTGTAGCGTGATGGTTGCTGTAGATATTTAAAGCGTAGTAGGCGGCTGTGTTGACAGGAGACCGCCCTTCCCCTGCCCTCCTGCCCACCTAACTAAAAACCAGTATTGTCCTTTCCTGTCGGTCTGGTCAGTTGCCGTGTCAATGTACATCCGTAGTGTGTACATGTGAAAGTGCCTTCCTATCTTAGGAGCTAGCCTTGCTTGTGGTCCCGCCCACCGAGCCCAGCCCAGCGCACTGCATTGCTCCCAGCCTCTCCGCCCCCGCCCCGCCCCTGCCATTCCTCCCCGTGCCTGTCCGTGCACCGTGCATCCACGCGGGTTATCAGACCATCCTGTTGCCTCATGGACGTGACCGTGCGTGCCTTTCTCACGCCACAGTGACCCCCCACCCCGCCCTCCGTCCCATGATGCCCCACTCACTGCTGCCCGCCATCCAGCCCCCTTGCTCTAAACTCTGGCTCTCCGGTACACCCCCTCCTCCCTGAGGTAAAGAGGGAGGGAGGTGCTTTTCCAGTCCTGGAAGGAAAACAAAATGTTTTGCTAATCTGTCGTGAGAACGCACTTTTCTGTATAGTACTGTACTTTTTGGCATGTACCATTACAGGCTTCAGTACCCAGTCGGGTTTGTTCTTCAAGGCGTAGCTTTATAATAAATATCATAGTTCTGGCTACCTTTGTCTGCTTGTGATTTGCTGGGACTGTCAAGTGTCTGTTCCTGTCTGTTCACTCTGTTCTCCTAGGGAGGAATTTAATGCTCTGGATAGTGTAAAACTTTAACCTTGGTTTTGTCTGAAACAGGGTCAGTCTATGTAGCCCTGGATGCTCCCACAATTTGCTATGTAGACCAGGCTGGCTTCAACTCAGATCTGTCTCCTTCTGCCAAGATTCAAGACAAGCATCACCACGGCTGGCTCCTTTAAGATGTATTTATTATTGCCGGGTGGTGGCGGCGCACGCCTTTATTCCCAGTACTAGGGTGGCAGAGGCAGAGGGATCTCTGAGTTCGAGGCCAGCCTGGTCTAAAGAGAGAGTTCCAGGACAGCTGGAGCTACACCGAGAAACTGTCTCAAAAAAAAAAATTAAAATTAATTTTGATTATGTCTTTAAGTATTACATATATATATATATATATATATATATATATACACACACACATATATACATATGTGTACCAATCATTAGTGTAATGGTTTTTACAAAGAAACACTAGGGCTGAGAGGGTGTAGTTTGGTGTAGAGCATGCACTCAGTATGTAAAAAGCATTCACACCCAACCACCAAAAGAGAAAGTGTCTACCACCCAGACCAAGAAATAGTGCAGTAGCCACAATTAGCCAGTGCTCTGAGACACCACACTGTCTCCTCCCAGTGTGACTGCCCACATGTGGGCTCATGCAGTTCTTGTATCCAGTTCCTTTTGTTGAGTTTTATGCTGGGAGCTGGAGAATCAGCTCCGTGGTGGATCTCCCAACAAGTACAAGTCGGTGTCCAGTCCCCCAGCACTGGGGAAAAACAAGGGAGACCTCCATTATGGGTGACAGAAGTCTACCACAGACAG